TCATTTATTTTAATTCAACGAAGCTTCACAATTCCCTAAAAAAAAAAAAAGCTTTAGAACTGGCGAAGCCATTTTCCATTGAAGTATTTGTGGTATTCCTAGAAAAATGAATGCAAATGAGAAAATTTCAACCCCCACTTTTTTTTTTTTTTTAGTTCAAAGGTCGAGAATGTCCCAACCAACTAATTTCAATCTCTTTGAGAGCTGAATTGGGATGCACGCCAGAATAGTTTGGATATTATTTAGGGTTAATTATACATTATACCCTAAAAAATTGTTTGAATCTTAATTTACATCTTCAAAGATATAAATTTGTATCAATTCACACCTGAAGCTAACAACTGTAAGTTATACCTAGACCCCCTCAAATTTGTCACTTAATCATTTAAATTCCTTCATATTTAAAATATTACTCTTACACCTCCTAATGTTTGTGCACGTGTAACACATAGTCCCTTGTCGTTGAAATCTGTTAATATAACCGTTAAAAAACATGATTTCATCATAATAAAAAATTATAATTTTCATACTATCCTTTATTTTGTGAGCCCGTTATACTCTAAAGTTCATAATCAAGCTTACTATTTAAGTGACTAATATAATAAATGTATTTATATAATGATTTATATATTTAATGCAATACATCACTTGAACATAATTATTTGGATGCCCAATTGGAGGAAAATTTTTAGTCATATTTGGATTCTCAAGGGATGTAGGTGTAATATTTTAAATGTGAGGGATCTAGATGATTAAATGACAAGTATAAAAGGATCTAGATATAATTTATCTATTTTGTTTTCGGGTTGTTAGCTTTAAGTGCACATTAATACATATTTCTATATGGTATACAAATAGGGTCCTCTTTTATTATATTTCTATATTTGAGGGTATAAATTAAAATTTTCGATATTTTGAAAGTACAAATTGAGATTCAAATGATCTTTCAGAATATAATTTACGATTAAACCTATTGTTTATTCATATTATGTTGACAGAATGCAATTATGATGGTTCTTCTAATGTGTAATAATGACAAGAATCTATGAGTTACACGCGTATAAACCTCAAAGTATTACTGGACTCCACGTACTATTTTTCCTAATCTTATATCCTTATACCACCATTATCCTTCAAACAAACATGCCCTTGATGAACTAATTTATACCTGACGAGATTCTCCTGAATAAATGACAAAATTTAAGGGTTCACGGTGTAATTTATCCAAAAAAAATTGACTTGGTCTGACCTCTGAATTTCTATTAACTACTGTATTGCCTTGTGTTTGGTTAAAGGTTTCTGTCATCATATGATGTGTGTGAAAAGTGAAAACAACCTGATTTTCTTTCTGTAATGTCAAAAAAATAAGGTTGCCACGTCGTTTTCCGCATTTCAAGTGGATTCACAAGTTCAGCAATCTATATCTGTATTAAAAAAAGAAAACTCCTGATTTAAAAAAATTATAAAGAATTCAAATTGTTTAAATCATAATAAATATTTTTATTTTTATTTATTTTTTAATTACAATAAATATTTTTAACTACCACTTATAATTTATTCACGATAAATATTTTAATCATTCACTTACATTTCAACCACGGACAAGTCTAAGGTAGCACAAAAAAATTTAGTACGGTATCATTATTTATCATTTTTATGAATATTTTAAATTTAAATATTTTTTGTAGTAATTATTTTTACCATAAAAGTGATAAAAACATTCATAAAAGTGGTAAAAAAAATTTTGATGTAAAATAACCATACAAATTATAAAAATACCAATTAAAATAATAAAATTTAGAGGTATAGTACAATAATAAAATAAAATAAAATTCAGTACATCCACACTAAAAAAAAAATATACTTTGCACGGAGTTCACCGTCGTGGTAAATAAGTGGGTAGAGAGAATTAGTCAGCAACTCAGCAGACTCACAAATCCTGCAAGTGGTGGTGGAGGGTGGCGACACCCCCTCCAAACCATAGGGTTTGAAAAATAAATAAAAAAAAAAAAGAAAATCTTCTGCAGAATAAACATCACAATAATAACGGATTCATCCCCCAAAGACTTTTCTGCTTTCATGAAGACCCTTCTAACAAAATTCTTGAATTCGTGGCTGCTTTACTCTACCTGGGCCATGCTTTGTTCGGCGCTCCGCTTTAGGTCATGGGATCATGCCAGGTGTGGAAAACATAATCTATTAGAAATATCAATTTTACATATGATTAATGTTATTTGAACTTAAAATTTTAATTTTGATAAAAAAAAATTTAAAAATTTAATCTAATTTATTGACATAATAATATGATTTTTGTAGAGCTATTGGATTAATATAAAGTTTCAATATTTAATGCAGCCCACAATTTATCCAAAAACTATATAGTGAATTAGATTAACAAATTAAGTTAATAATTTATATCACAATAGCATTGCTTTTCTACATATATACCTTGTGAATCCAACACAAAATAGTCGTAATATTAACAAGTCTAAGTTTAGTTATTGCAAGTTCGAATGGTAAATGGATGAATCTTTTAAATTCATCCAATACACAGATGGACACTGATAATGGTGGATTTTCGGTTTGGCTCGTCCATTCAAAGCCCAAGCCCAAGTAGCTCACCTTCAGCGCCCGCTTTGTCAAAGAAGTGGGCCACAACTCAAAAAAGGAAGCCCAGTGACATTTAGCTTAGTATATACCGGCTCGGTCATCTCAAGTACAGCGGGTGGACCAACTCGAGAACTCAAAGCTCGATACGAAAAAAATCTCAAGCAACTCCAGTCACGCCATGTGTTCAGGGGACAGGGAGACAAAATTCTGGTGACTCTAACAAATAAATACTCCCTTGTAAAGGGAATATTGGTAAACTTTCCATTTTGAGCATCGTGGACACAACGTACGTCTGAGTGACAGACCTTACAACATGATAAATGAAGAGGGGACCACAAAATCTATCAAGAGAAGGAAGAATCGCAAAAAATCCTAGATAGTCACATGTACAAATAGAAGACAAAATCACAGAAGAAAGGGTCTAGAGTCTTATTTGCAATATACTGTGTAAGAAAAGACTCTTAGAAAAATAACTTACAGTAACCATTATCTTCTACTTCAAGTAATATAAACCCCAATGAGCAAAAGTCTCAATTGCAATGGATGTAACCCTAGTCTTTTGACTAAGATGAAACACTTATATTTTATTCTCTAATCCAATGTCAACACTTACTTTTGCATTGACACAATATTCACAAAGTCTCCACTGGATCTCACACAGTCTTCGTTCTGCACTTGGACGTAGTATTTTCAAGCACCATCAAACACAAATTTAATTGTACATCTATATAATAAATTATAATACAATTCAAATTTTAAAAAATAAACAAAATGACTTTTGCTATTCGCGGTTGAGATTTTTTTAAAATTTTATTTTAAAGTTAATTTACCGATAAATATTAAAACTCCCAATTTAATAGAAAAAAAATTCTCTAAGGGTGTATTTGGAGTGACTTTTTAAAAGTACTTATACAAATTATTTTTCATAAGTACTTCAAAAAAATAAGTAATGATATGTATTCTAAATTTATAACCCAAATTTGCACTCCAAGTCAAGGAGGATCATTAGATCAGTGAGTCCTATTAAAAAAAGTTGATGAAATCCACTGATCCTCCTTGATTTGGGATACAAATTTGGGTTACAAATTTGGGATACATAACACTACTAAAAAAAAATAGGGTTTGAAACTGTCCCACCACTACCACGACTGCCACCGTCGTCACCACCATCGCTGTCGCCACCGCCACTACTGTCATCGCTGCTACCACCACTGTCATCACCACCACCACCGTCGTCGCCGTCGTCACCACCTCCACCGACACCACGATCATTGTCACCCACCACAACTATCACCGTTTCCTACCACCACTATTGCCGTAATCACCTCTCATTCTCAATAATGTTTAAATTTATTTATCTCTCATTAATATTTGTTATTTGATTTTAAATATAAATATAAATATATTTTTTATTTTTTATTACTCTATATACCTTGGAACACAAAGAATAACTAATAATTACATAATCTACGAACTCTAAGTCAAATACCAAAAAATAAATATCCCTCTGCGTAGTTCATAAACAATCTCTCTCTCCCACTCCCCCCATAGTGTTACACGGGGGCACTCAAGTGCTGTGGTCGGCAGAAAGCGGGCCCCACAGTGGGCCACTGCCCCACAGCTTATCATAGCCGTTAGACAAGCCCATAACGACTTTTTGAAAACTTTAAAGGACTGTCATTATTGAATACGCGTTCAGGAGATCATCCTCCACGCGTAATGATGATTATTAATTAATACAAAACCTAAAAGAAAATTAATTATATTTGTCTGTCCAATGATATACTTTTTTTTATATATTAGATACAATAATAGCGTCTTTATTCTTTTGCATTATTTCTGGATAAAATGTAATAAATACTATTCTTTAAGTTTAGCCATGTTAATGGGATTGACCCGTTCTCACTGCTTAATAGCTCCGAATTACCACGAGATCAATGATCTAAATCCATTAAAATATGCTTTTTTTATAACGTTCTCCCATGAATTAATCTTGTATTAATGAGAGAGTTTTTGGATCCTATTTAAATTATTAATAAGTGATTTACAAGAATTTGAGAAAAAATGCATTGTTAAATCGCTATTAGAGTTTAAAATCGCAGTTAGACTTCAAAATCAAATGAACAAATTTCAACTTTCTCTTGTCCTCTACTGTTGTGATTAAAAATAAAATTAAAAATAAATCAGAGAAGCAAATTATTATTCCTACTACTTAATGGTCCCTTAATTATAGTAGGTCTTTTTTTTTTTTTTTTGGTCCAACAATCAAGCGTTCAGGTCAATTTATGTGTATCTCAAGTAATCTCTTCCTTGATCCGATAAAAGCCAGCTAATTATCTCTCTCCTACTTTCACTTTCTGTCACAGAATTTTGAAATTTTCGACTTAGGTTTCTTTTGACTTCTCTGGGTTGCGGTTTTTTGGGGGGTTTTAGTGTAAGCTTTGCTTGACTGTGTTGTTTGGTTCCTGAAGCGTATATTATGGTTTGCTTGAAGAGAGAAGGAGGTGATACTTGTATCCAAAGTTAGTCTGTTGAGGAGGTAATTCACTATCATTACTCTAGATTGTTCTCAAACAGGGTTTCCACTCTGGATCAAACCAGATCTTCCCTGCGCTCAATCAGGTAAATCCAATTTTCTTATATGCTCTTGTCCCCCAACCCTTTTGGCTTTCTGTGTGTCTCTGTGTGTGTGTGCAGAGCTTACATTCAGCTTTCTTCAATATGAAAGTTAATCTGTTCATTAGCTATTGCACCTATTGGAGGTTTTAAGGTTTTTTCAATGTCAAAGTGGAATGATTATCCACAGTTGTGGTTTTTCGTGGGGTTTTCCTTTTTTTTTTCTTTTTTAATTGATATAAAAATTGCTGGGTGATCTCAAATTTTGCTGAAATTGAATTGTGGAATGCTCCCTGAATTTGGAGATATTGAGAGAGAGAGAGAGAGAGACAGAGAGAGTATCTCTTAATTTCGTAATTTTGAAATTTCCTCAAGAATGATGTGGATAATGGCAAATTTTCAGTTGAATTCTTTAAATTTTCAGAAACTTAACTGAGTATAACAATACTTATTTTGTGCTCCTTTGTATTTACACTAAAACGTCACTTCTTTTTATTAGGACTGAGTCTGGTTGGTTGAACTTCGAATCAAATGTACTATGGCTGAAAGCAGCATGGGGATGTCCCAAGCTGATATAGGAGCTCTAAAAGAAGCCCTTTGTGCTCAACAACATCTTTTGCAAAAACTTTACAACGAATTGGATGTGGAAAGAGAAGCTTCAGCCACTGCAGCTAGTGAAACTCTGTCCATGATATTCCGTCTACAAGGAGAAAAGGCTGCTGTTAAGTTGGAGGCAGAGCAGTATAAGAGATTGGCCGAGGAAAAGATGTGTCACGCAGAGGAATCGTTGACAATTTTCGAAGACCTTATCTATCAGAAAGAAATGGAGATTGCTGCTCTAGATTACCAAGTTCAGGCTTATCGGTACAAACTTTTGAGCATGGGTTGCAGTGATCCAGGAGTTGGCGAGATAAAATTTCCTGAGAATCTGCTGCAAAGAAATGAAAATTTAGCTGGGGAAATGAGTGTTCAAAACATTTCCAGGAGAAGTTCTGCGCCCACAATTCCTCTTAAATACTCATATCAAAAGAAGAGTGTGATTGAAAGAGAAAGATCTATTAGTCCAGAGACAGATTTTGTTGAAAAGAAAGCGGAAGAACAGACGGGACAAGAAATAAATGGTCAGACTTTGGATTTAGAGAAGAAGCCTGAGAATTCTGCTGTTGGAGACATCAATTCGTACTGGGAACAGATCAGAAATTTAGATGAAAGAGTGAAAGAGATAGCAGGAGTTAACTATGCGAATTCTGAGAATGGCTCGAGATCTTCTTCAATATGTTCACAAGTGAGCATTGGAATGGCATATGATGCAACGAAAGAAGTTATAAGAAGCGAGTTGGATCAGGCTAAACATGCTCATTATGTAAAAGAAACAAATTCAGATTCTGCTTGTTCCTCGAGTATCCATGATGTCTTCGAAGTTCCACAAATCCATGAGAATCATAGAGGATGCGGATGCCAGACAAAAGAATGGTGTGAGGAAGTTTTGGAAGGTGATAAGAGGATTGAAAAGCCTGACATTGTTACACAGGAGGCTAGTAAATCTTGTGTTAAAGATGAAACTGACTGGGTAAAGAAAATGCTGCTGTCCTTGCACCGGGATGATTGTATAGGTAGACCCAGTGATGGTGTTGCTGTTGACTGCCGTTTGGCTGTTGTTGGCCATACAATTGGTGTTTCCCAATCTCAAGCCCAAATACAACAGCTTAATAGCACATCTGAGATAATTGAGCTTGAGAGCGAAGCTATACGACATGAAACTATTAATAGAAAGGAGGAAGAAATGAAGTTGTTGAATGAGATACGAGAGCAACTCAATTCAATACAGTCTGAGATTAGAAGTTGGAAGACTAAGAAGTCCTCTCCAACGGATGAGTTACATCTAGTTAATCTCAAGGAGGTAATCCTTTCCAGTTTTCATCTCTCTCTCTCTCTGTTATCTATAAAGCATAGAAATGGATTTATAAATCCAATAAGACTAATCAAAGTGTTTAAGATTTTCCCATTTCTGCTCCATATCAATTAGACAATTACATGACAACTGTTGATGGCGATGGACAGGCAATGCTTCACTTTTGGCTCTGATCCAGCTATCAAAACTTTTCCAACTGAGACAGCAAATTTTCATTTCCATATGCCACTGGTCCTGGATATGCTGTTATTTATCCAAGCTACTGAAGTTTTTGCTTTGTAAATGATTGTGTAAGAAGGGGATTAGTTGTCTTTGAAGATTAACATAAAGAAATGGTGTGGATAGTGAGTTGATTTTGTATCTCTTTAGCGGAATGTGTATATGTATAGATTGGATATTGTACATTAACATTACATGATAGGTTTTTTTTATTTAAAAAAAAAAACAAAAGATTGCGTGACTTGTGCTTTCAGAAATCTTTTGTTTATTTTTGCCTGTCTCAAACTTGACACTGTGATGATAACAGAATTTTCATTCTTTATTTGAGGGGTGATTGTGCTTATATTTGTGATATACTCGCACACATATGCAGATTGTGATATGCAGTCACATTGTGTTTCTCATCCACCTTTCGCGCACACTTATAACTGTGCTTCCAGTTATATCTACTTGTATGAGAATCCGGGGCATGAGACCTTATAGTTTATCTTCATTTGTTTGTAAGTTTAGCAGCACAAGAATGCTGCATTAATGCCGGATCAAAGAGATTATGTCACCCAGTTGGGTACCATCAATGTCTCGGGAGTTGATGGATCATAAGCTGTGTCAGTGTTACTGCACCAGTGAACCAAACTGAACAATCCCTGATTACTCTTTGCCCGTTTTAGGCTTAGCCACCCTTTTGGATGCATTGACTAAAGTGCTGAAACTTTAAATACTGCTGATGCATGAAAGTGGGTAGAAACAAAGATATAAGGAACAAAAGTGGATAATGAAACTATACCATTGATTTGCATACAAATACTGGTTTAGAATCCTACTCTAAGCTTATTGATTCACCGAATACTAGTTCTAAAGACTTCAATTGATCTGTTGATTCCTAAGAATACTAGATTGGGAAGAAAAAGATATTGTTAATTCACCCAAAAGCTATTTTGCCCTAAGCTTAGTTTATATAATAGCAGTAATCCTAAACAAACTAGGAAACTAGAATCCTAATTAAATTATGGAAGCAAATAAAATAAAATCCTAATTAAACCAAAAAATAAAACTAAAATAAATTCTTAATTAAATGAGGAAATACAATAAAATCTCCTAAATTTTCTTAATTGAACGGCATTGACCACGTTCAAAAAAAATACCAAAATTTTTGCCACCCATAGTGCATCAACTGCCCTCTGTAATTGCACTTGATCTATGTAGATATATCAAAAAATGGATTATTTCCATAGTTAGAAACCTATGTGTCAGAACACATCTTAATTTGAAAAGTAAAAGGGAAAACAGAACATCTGCTGTCTTTCTTCTCCTGCATTAGATTTGCTGACAGAATAGTTATAACTGCTCCCACAAAGGCTGTATCCAAGGTTGTCATGTCATACTAGGGAGGAATTGCTAGGCATTGAATCCAACTTTAGGACGTCAACTGCAGGGTGGTGGTGCAAAGAAGCCATTGCCCGCATGATCACTTCACTTGTTCACTCCTGAGAATAACCCAAACTCAGAAGGATCATACCCCTACCAAAACCACTCTGACTGCAGACAAAGAAGGCTTTTCCAATAGCCTTAAAATATGGGAAATTGTCACAACTTGAGAAACCATTTAGAATATGGGAAATTGTCACAACTTGAGAAACCTTTTAGTTTTAGTTGATACATATCTTTAGGACTTGACATTGTTGTTGGATCTAGTGACAGGAATCCAGTTGTCACTGTTGATTTTTAGGTTGTTATGATAACCTGGGATAAGTCTAAGATACCCACAGCAAAAATATGGGTACTATATCAAAATTGTTCTAGAACCATGGATTTTAGTTTGATTATTGTAACCATTGATTGTAAAAATGATAAAATAATATTAAATAATAGAATAAAAAACTTTACACATGTCATGATTTTATTGGATGAAAAGTGGAGGTACAGATCGTAACCGGATCCTCATGATCCTGTAGGGATCATATTAGGCTGTCCCTGCTAATCTTGATTAAGCCATCCCTACACCTGCTTTATTCCACAATTCCCAGATTCCAGTTGTCATATAAGGTGCAAAGAAGTGTTCATCTGTAAATTCAGTGGCATTAGAAGCCCTTTAAGTGTTTGATTAATATCTTCCTACCTCTTTAGGAATGCAGCTTGTAGACTGTTGTAGCCATCCTGCCATTCTATAAGGAATGGTGGAAGGGATGACCTCTGCTTTCAGTGTAAGCAGAACAGTTTCACCACAATGTGGACTTCTCTTTTTCGCGGCGTGAGTGGGTGGGTGTTGGGGGTGGGGGAGGTGGTTAATGCACCTTTATTTTATGCTATTGTGTACTGGAATAAGTGAGTAGCTTCCTCTTACCCTTAAAGATGCATGAAATCTAGTGGCTATTTTCAAAATGCATGCCATTTCAAACCCTTTTTGTTTTAACATCACTGAACTTTGAGTGGCCAGACCACTGCCTCACTTTAACCGCAAGTGATTTTGTATGTATTGCCTACAAATAGCAATCCAAAAAGGTTGTTAAACCAAGAATTTTAAAAGTTATCAATCTGACATTTCATAGGGCTTACTTAGCTCTTAAAAGACAAAAGGTTTACACAAACATGAACAGTTTCTATATGTATTAGACAGTCAATCAAAGATACCATAAATGAATCTATTGTATTTAATTTTCTGAGAAAATTGGAAATTTTTACAGATTGGAAGTTGGAAGCCTTGGGGTGATAGTTCAAAGAGTTCCTTTGGTAGGATATCAATCCAATGTGATTGTCATCATATTGCTATGCTCAATCAACAAAGTTCCATAAGCAAAATCTCAGGAGTTTCTTGATTTCATTTGGACCTGATAATTTTAGCAATTCTCCCAGTCACTCTGCTGTGAGAAAAGTCTACCTGGTGCCCCATACTGATTGTCTCAGGTACAAAGGGTTTGAACACTGGTGAGATTTTCCATGGAAGGGTGATTAGATTTCTAAAGAAATTTGAATTTATTAAGATGAAGTTATACCACATAGCTGTGCCACTTTTACATTCAACAGATTCTCATTATTAACTGGGATATATGACGAATCCTCCACATAAGTCGGGAGGGGGAGAATTGTTGGGTTTCCCTCCTTTGTGGGACTCATCAATTTGCTAATTTTTTGGTGGCCTACCCATGTAGGACTCTTATCCAAGACTTGGTTTGGAGTCTTCAAGTTAAAAGGAATTTGGCAGCCACCAAAAGACTATAAGTTTTGTCCTTTTCTTTGGTTCATCTTTTCTCTGTTGGTTTGGCAAGAAGATATATTTTTCGGCAGTCTTTGGTTCAACAAAAATTCAGCCTTCTTCTTCTCCTTTTTTGGTGACAGAAAAATCTGTAAATTTGTTCTTCAAGTGGGTAATATTTCTTCACTTGATATTTGGGTTTCTTGCGGTTTGTTCTTGGAGATTTGGTTCACTTATTTTGTGAGGTATTTTCCTCTTGTGATTTACACCTTGGTGTGTTTGTAAGGCTTATGCCTTTTGGCCACTTTGTAATCTGATTTGGTGATAGTGGAAGAAACTGACCTACCGGTCGTCGTGGATGTACCTCAAGTTATTTGAGGGAACCACGTAAATCTTGTGTGCTTATTTATTTTCTGTTATTTTATTTATATTGCTTCCATTGATTTACACTTGTGGGAAAGCCTATTTTCCCAACAGTATAAAGGCAAATGTAGGTGTGATTTGCAATACTTTGCTTATGTCCAACTACAAAGTGACAAGCATCATAGTCGGGATTAATATCTGTGGCTCATTTTCCAGTCATTAATCTCTACAGGGCGATGGAGATACACGACTTAAATCATGGAACTATCATCTCTACAGGGCGATGGAGATACAGACCCGATTCTAGAAAGCCCTTGGCTATTATTTGGGGGATTAATCAGTTTTTTAAAGCCAAAAATCCTGGTTTACAATGATGAAAAGTTTTAAGAACATTTTAGCTTTTATTCTCAAGTGAGGTGGGTAATCCCAACCCTCCACTAGCTACTATGTACTTAACATTATAAATAAAATAAAATAAAATAAAAAATCCACTAGCTACTTATATTAATATATTCAACCTAAAATGGTAGGGTGAAAGAAACTTGTAAGTGCATTTCGACTATGCAGAGCACGATTTGTCACTTAAAACTAGCTCAATGCTAATTAATTAAGATAATGTCATCCTAATAAGCCTTTTATAAACCAAAAGGTATGTGTTAGGTTTACTACATGATCCTGATGATATTTTCTATCTCATTATGACCAAATACTATATTTAGTCTCGGTGCATTCTCAAGAAACATTAGAACTTAATGTCTCTTAAATTGGCTTCAAAATAAGATGATCAGTATCATTCAGTAGTTGTACTTTTGTAGAAATATTTCAGTTTTAGTAGAAACAGAAATGAAGTTGTGCTTACATATCGAACTTCATATGTTTTGGAATCTTTCGGAATGTTTTGGGATGTTTCAACAAGTCTTGAACAACGTTTTCACAATCAAATGTTTTTATTTTTTTTTTTCTTAGTTTTAGAACTATTTTTGAAACGTAAACATACGTTTGCAAGTTGACCGAAACTGTGGACTGAACAGAATTGCAACAATGAATTGAAAATCCATGTAGCCAACTGAATAGCTTTGGCAGAATCAATGAAACAATTGAATACAGAACTGTTCCCCATCATACATTTGCAAAGTTTCTATCATTGCCAACACCACACAAATCATGTTCAAAAAGTTGTGACTTTAGTTGAAGCTTCTTTTAGAGTTGAAGGTCTAGACAGGTATTGCTTCAATCGGCCAATCTCCTGCGCTACATCCAGCATGGTTGGTCTAGTTGAGGGAGAGCACTGTGTGCACATTAGGCCGAGTTCAATCAACTCCACGATCACACGGCTCCATATCTTCTTGTCATATGCGAAAGGGCTATGGGGCGCATACCTTAGAATGGCGTCTTCCACGATTGTTTCGAGCTTGTATGGGTAGTGACTTTTAACCCATTGGTGTAAGCTTGAACCTTCGCTGAAAAGGATATCTGTGGGACGTTTTCGTGTCACGATTTCTAACAGAAGAACCCCAAAACTGTAAACATCTCCTTGTGTTGAAGCTCGTTTTCCCATTCCGTATTCTGCATTTACATAGGCCAAGCATAAGAAAAGAATGAGAAGAGTAGTATTGAACCGAAATATGTGTTCTAATAATCAAGGGATAACTCATTTGCTTCTTACCAATCATAGGTACAAATTTATATTCTTCAACTTTATTTTGTACTATCAAAAAAATATTTGAAATTACTTACCAGGAGCAATGTAACCAATTGACCCACAAAGCAAGCCATCTGTAGAGCAGAATGAAGGTGAATCATGAACAGAAATACTCTCATCACCGCCTTTTATCAACCTTGAAATACCAAAGTCAGTGACCAGAGCAGTCATGTCATCATCAAGGAGAATATTGCTCGGTTTAAGATCACAGTGCACAACTTTAACAGGAGAGTGATGATGCAGATAGGCCGTCCCTTCTGCGACATCGCTGCATATGCTCACCAACTGAATCAAGTCCAATCCATTGCTCAATCCGTGGCTCGGGTACAGATGAATCTCGAGGCTTCCATTTGGCATCAGTGGAAGAACAAGAGCCTTAAAGTCAGGCTTACTACAAACTGTTATGATCCTTATCAAATTTCTATGCCTAGTCCTTTTCAGCACTTGGCATTCCCTTTTAAAGCTCCCCGAAATGTCTCCAGCAGTTGTCGAATCCAGTACCTTCACAGCAATCTTGGTGTTGTCTCGTAGAGCTCCTTTGTAAACATGGCCAAATCGACCTGATCCAATTAGGCTTGAACTGCTAAATCCACCGGTGGCTTCAGTGAGTTGTCGATGAGAGATCTTTGGGTACTTGTGCTCTTTCCTTCCCTTTTCTTCATCTTCAACATCCCCACCATCTAATATTTTCAATTGCCTCCTGAATTTGATCCTTGGATATCCCAAGATGCATAATATAGGAATTAGAATCAATGAAAGGAGGACTGGCAAGATTATAGAGCGGGGGGATCGTTTTTTCTTGCAGTTTGGCATGCCTTGAATGGAACCACAAAGCCCAGGAATGCCCAGGAAAGAATCTATGGACAGCGATGAAAAGGCCCCCGTATTCGAAACGTTCCCGGTGAAGTTGTTGAAAGAGAAGTTGAGTAGCTTTAGAGTTGAAGATTCCTGAACTGATTGTGGTATCTCACCAACCAACTGATTAAAGGACACATCAAGCTCTTTAAGGTAAGGCAACTGCCCTATCGATCCCGCAAGAGGGCCTTCTAAAACATTATTGGATAGATTGAGATACTCTAGAGCAATGCAGCTTCCGAGCTGTGAAGGTATAGTGCTAGATAAGTTGTTAGATGATAGATCAATAGCTAGCACCATGTCCATTTTACTCAGCTCCAATGGAATAGGCCCATGTAAGTGGTTGTTAGACAAGTTCAAGTACAACTTCAAACTATTCAATCTGGCCACTTCACTGGGAATTATCCCAGAAATTCTATTGTGAGAAAGATCAAGAATCTCTAAGTTAATGCATTTTCCTAGACTTGGTGGTATGGTTCCTGAGAGCATGTTTTCGTACAGCAAAAGTCTTCTTAGTTGACAGAGATTAGCAAAAGAATCCGGGATTGTACCGGAGAGCTTGTTTTTAGACAAATCAAGAAGGCCTAAATGGGGAACATTGCCAAATTCCGATGGAATCTCACCGGAGAGCGAGTTGTTTGACAAATATAGCCTCTCTAGCTTTCCCATTCGACATAATTGAGTCGGTATCGATCCATTCACAAGATTACAGGACAAATTCAAAAGGGTGAGGTTGACAAGATTTGAGATGTGAGGAGGAATGGAGCCATAGATAAGATTCTCATCAAGATGAAGCTGTACAAGACTAGGGGAGAGATCACCAATAATAGAAGGAATCTCTCCACCAAGACTGTTTCCCGCCAGCTCAAGTTCTTGCAAATTAGAAGAATTAACCAAAGAAGCGAAAAAAGGTTTGAGGTCAGTGTTACCTTTGTGGCTTGAAAATTGATTATAGGACAAATAGAGGTATTGTAATAATGGCATGTTATTTACAATCTCTGAAGGCAACTCTCCACTTAGTAAGTTTGATTCCAAGTCAAGCCATTCAAGTTTTGAAGAGTTTGAAAGTGCTTGAGGAACTTGACCCACAAAATTATTTGACCAAAGGAGAAGAAACCTTAGCTCTTTAAGCTCACATTGATTGTTCAAGGGGATTTTTCCACCAAGAGAATTGTTGGAAAGGTCTATATACTGCAAAGAAGATGACCCATTGCACAAAAGTGGCATAGGAATTTCACCCGAAAGCCGGTTGCTTCCCAAATTAATGTATTCTAATTGGTGAAGAAAGCCTAACTCAATTGGAACCCTCCCTTCAAGAAGATTTGAAGATAAACTGAGCTGTGTGAGCTGAAAAAGAGAGCCTAGCTCAGCTGGAATGCGACCTTCAAATAAGTTATCCGACAAGTCAAGAATCGATAAGGAAGAAAGATTGGCTATGGCCGGAGAGATAGTGCCTTGAAGAGAATTGCCACTAAGATCAAGCTTTACAACTCTCTCTCTTGTGACATTGCACCCAACTCCTCTCCAGTTGCAGACATGAACACCCGAAGCATTCCAGCTCTCTAGAAATTGTTTTGGGTCGACAACAATCCCAGACATGAACGAAAGAAGAGCAGTTCGATCATTCAATATCCCAGCATTGTTATCGCTTGATGCCACGAAGAAACATATGATCGAGAAAAGAGAATTATACTTGGAAAATTTGCAAAAACCCATTATTTTCAATGAGTTGAGCTAAAATTTGAGGAGAGAGAGAGAATGGATGTTAGAGAGGAAGTGCAGCACCTTGTGGTTATAAGAATGGACAATCCGGACGTGGCCGATAAAAAGAAGTAATGCGGAGAAATTGAAGCTTTTGTGCCTAACTGCCGTTTGAAGGATAAACGTTATGTTTGGCGCCATAAATCTTTGACTACAATCCGAGTTGAACACGTGTGAACATGTAGCATGCCAGGTAAGCAACGTTATTTAGCCGTTTGACATTTGGTGGTTTACATGTCACAAGGCCTAACTATGTATGTGTCTGTGTTTTTTTTGGATTACTTGTGGGACTTTGTGTAGTTAGTGGATGATGAGTTGTTAAGCTGAAGATAGTGTAGGTTATTTCTAAGCATGCTTAGTTAGGGATGTGGATAGGATGGTGCGGCAACTTTCTATTCTGGTACATTTGTCGGTTCAGTTGATGCATTTTAATCTTTTTTAAGTAAGAGGTATCCAAATTTTTTAGAAAATCTGACAACTCTTTTATATACAAACTTCTTTTATCCGTACATATATCAAGTAATTATGTATCATGATAATTTTTTTGAGATGTTTTCAAAACTAAAACTCGAATTTGGGATTTTGTAGATTGACTACTGGCTAACTTATCCACCTCTCGGGTTGATGCTTTGTGCTGTAACGTCCGTAACTCATTAAGCTTAATCTGTCCCAAAAAATTTCAATCCCAACAAAGTGTTTGGCAACAAAGTTTACACTTTGCTGCACCCTACAATTGATGACCTCGACGTTCATTAAGGAAAAGTTTCAGTTCAACGTGGCGTTTGGCAATAGATTTAGAGCACGAAAGTAACCCTACTAGAACTTCCTCTCTCTCTCCCCCACCCCCGCGGTGTGTGAGTGTGTGTATCAGTGTATGCAATGTAATGGACTTTACGTGGTATAATATGAAAGTAACCTAATGGAACTCTGTGTGTGTGTGTGAGTGAAACTTTTCGTGGTATAACTTGAAAGTAACCTAATAGAACTCTCTCTCTCTCTCTCTCTCTCTTTGAAAGGAGGGTTTATTAACGGTTGGTTGATTGTCCATGGAGATTACCATGGGGCTGCTTGAAAAACTCTGCAGTCAAACTAATGCTATTTAAAAAACATCAAACAGATCCTATCTGCATTTGATCACAATGTAATAATAATTTTTTTTAAAAAAACATATAATGGCTTCGATGAAGGTGCATGTACCTCCATTAGTATAAGATGTGTAGTGCTTAGAGGGCAAGAAATGGCCGCAAATACAAATTAATATATACTAGCAGCATGGACCCGCGATTGACATAATGTATAATATGTTTTTTTCCCTCATCCTTCCCTTCTTTTATCTTGGTCGTTTGACAAATTACTTTCTCCGTTCATAAATATTTGTCGTTTAAAATTTATGCACAGAGATTAAAGAAACTATTAAATAGTTCTAATATGAGTAAAAAATAATTGCACAAAACTAAAATACCCTTATTCAATACGTATTAAAAAAAAATGAATATGAAAGACACTTACCCTCCACCTAATTTAATGTATTGAAAAGTTAAGGATAAATTTAGAAAAAAAAATATTAATTATGCTTTGGTTTCATAAAACGACAGATATTATGGAACAAAAAAATTTTTGTAAAACGACAGATATTTAAGAACGCAAGAAATAGATAAAAAAAAATATGAAAAACTATTAGATAATACAATTTTCTCCAATAAATTTATAGAAATGGTAGTTTGTCGGTGGAGGAGAGGTAGAGAATAATTATGAGGGGCGCACCTATGGTAAAATGTGACATTCTAGGAAACTGTTCATCTTGCATTTAATATCTTAAAGTTCAATATAAGCAGAAAATTATGGAGGGAAGCTTCCTTATCTTGAAATTCAATGAAAGTTGAGAATATGGAGGGTGAGTTACTTAAACTTTCTCGCTATAAAGTTGATTGTTATATGTATAATATTATTATACGTCTTAGAGCATTTTTAATCATAACTTGAATTTGAATAAAAAATTTTAATTTGATATAAAACACTTTAATGGACGAACTCAAATATTTATTCAAATTTTTTAAAAAATTCTATTACTGTTTCAAAGCTCAATTTTTTTTTAAATTTTTTCTACCAAAATATTGTATTCAATATTAAAACTTATTTCTTATAAATTTCACTAATATTAACAAAAAGAAAAAAACAAGAATATCAACCTCTTTGAATGGGTAGATTTGTAAGTTTTTTATTAAATATGAGAGACGAGAGAGAGATTTTTTGAGAATGAGAGTTTATGAGAGAAGAAAAGAATATAGAGAGAAAGTAATACGTTATTGTCAAAGGATAGAGGCACAAATAGGCAGTGCTGTTGTCGGCGGTGGCAACAACTTTGAAGATAGAGGTAAGAACTTGTTTTGTTGAAGAAGTCTTTCGGATTGGAATAAGATAAAAAATTATCATTGAAAATTTGATATAAGATTTGAGTCATAATTAGAGATAATTTTATTATTATAACTGGTATCTCATCATAGTTGAATTCTTGTTGGACCACTTTGTGCACAGTCGGTGTGAAAATTTTTACTAACACAAGACTTTGGATTGCCATTGGATGTTGTGCACAGTCATTGCCTTGCAAGACTAAAGACTTATTGGACCTTGGTGAAGAGTTTTCCTTCAAGTATATATTATCCTATTTGGCATCAAGTTAAACTGGGGCTAGAGTTCTACTGCCAAAGTAATTATTATTTTGAGTCACTAGACGTAAAATGCCACTTCGACGACTGCTCAAAACAAAAATTATAATAATAATAATAACGTCGACAAAATCGTGTGCAGAAGATTTAGGTTTGCTCTATCTTAGGTTTTCTTCTCGTGAAGAAGTTTGGAGTGCTATTAATATTATAATATAGGTAGAACAAATATATGTTCTCTTGTCTTTTATTTTTTGAGAATAATTTATAATATCCAACTTTTGATACTACACTCTTATTGTTGTGTTTCGTTCATGAACGTAAATTTGAGTTGAGTCGAACCACGTAAATTTCTGTGTTTCATTTTTTTTTGTTTCGTTTTATTTATTTGTGGCATTTGTTCATAATAAATTGATATCAGAGCTTTAATTTTTGAGATAATTATAGCAAAATTTGAGACAAAAAAAATTGATGGTCAAAATAATTTCAATTTGTGACAGATCATCAAGATGAAGATGTTGTTTCGTTAACAGGGTTTGATAACAGTCATTAATGAATTTTTATCCAATGAGACAGAATAGACCAAAGTCACTGATATTGAAAACAAAGCACATAATGCAAATTCTTCATGAGGTCAGCGAAATGATAAAATTGAAGGACTTTAAAAAAAGTTAGAGAGTTTGTTTATGAAAAAGTCTATCGTCAACTGCTTGTATCTAAAGCAATGATTTTATACACTCATGACAAAGGAAGATACACACATTAATAAATATCTTGATGAATTTAACAAAATTATTATTAACTTGAAAAATATTGATATTAAAATTGAGGATAAAGATTAAGCCCTTATTGTTTGATGTTCAATTTGTGTGATAATTTTATTAATTTAATATTATATGGGAGAGACTTTATCTCCTTAATTGATGTGAAATTTTCTTTAAATTCTAAGGAGTTGCTTAATAGATTGAATAACTTTGAATTCTAAGGAGTTTCATACTGAATTGAATGGTAAAGACAATGATGCTTAGGAAGACTACCTGTTTGTGAAGGGTCTTTATAATAATTTCTCTAATAATAATAAATGTTGATCTGTTGAAAGAAATTTAGAAAAAGGAAAAGAAAAATTTTGAAGTAATTATGATAATTGTGTGCATTAAGCCCTTATTATTTTATGTTCATTTCGTTTGATAATTTTATTAATTTAATATTGTATGGGAGAGACTCTATCTCCTTAGTTGATATGAAATTCTCTTTGAATCCTAAGGAGTTGAGTACTAGATTGAATGCTTAGGAAGAGGGTCTATTTGTGAAGGGTCTTCATGATAGTTCCTCTAATAATAATAAATGTCAATCCGTTGAAAGAAATTTAGATAAAGAAAAAGAAAAATTTGGGAGTAATTATAATAATTGTGTATGTTACAAGCAGTTGTCAAATAATTCTTTTATATATTTGTTACTTTATGTGAATGATATTCTTATTGCTGATAACAGTATGTTAGAGATTGATAGATTAAAGAAATAGTTGAGTTCAGAATTTGAAAAGAAATATTTGAGTGTTATGAAGAAAAATTTGAGTAACAAGATTCATAGGGATAAAAAATGCAGGTATGTTATATTTATATCAAAAGAGATATATTGTGAATGTTATTGAGCGATTTGGTATGTATAATTCAAAACCCATTAGTATTCCACTTGTCGCTCACTTTAGACTTATAACATTTTTATCACTACATAGTGTGAATGGGGAACAATTTATGTCTCATACTCCTTATTCCAGTTTAGTTGGGAGCATCATGTATACTATAGTTTGCACTTGTCTAGGTATTTCACAGGCAATTAATGTGTCAGTCGTTACATGGCTAATTCTGAAAAGGTTCATTGACATGCTGTGAAATGGATACTTTGTTATTTGAGAGATACTACAGATGTTGACTTTGTCTTTGATAGAAGAGATGATATTGATTGTATAGTTGTTGATTATGTTTATTCAGATGATACAAATGATCTAGATAAGAAGAGATCTCTAATATGTTTTGTTTTTACTCCTTTTGGTTGCATTGTAAGTTGAAGAGTGATCTTATAGTCTATAGTAGCTTTGTCTATTACAAAGACAAATTACATAACAGTATCAAAAATAGTTAAAGAAGTAATTTGGTTGAGAGGTTTGGTCTATAATTTGGGCTTGAAAGAGGAGATGACTACTGTATTTTCTGATAGTCAAAGTACAATACAAGTCAAATGTATAATAAAAGGACCAAATGCATTGATGTTATGTCTAGTGCTCACGTTCAAACATTGCTTAGACTTAATTAGTGTTTGAGTTGTACAATTCAAGGTATTTAGCAAAAACAGCGGCAAAAATTCACTTGAGTTGAAAATTTGTTTTTATGACTTGTATCTAACCATATTTGAATTCAAGTTGAACAACGTTGTGCACAGTCGGTGGTGGAAAATTTTATTGACACAAGACTTTGTATTGGAAAGCATCCCAATTAGAGTTCAAGTCTGGTTTGGCACTCACTTTCATTGGATATGTATGGCAAAGCAAGACTTACTGGACTTTGGTGAAAACTTTTCCTCCATGTATATATTAACCTATTTGGTGTCAAGTTAAACTGGGGTTAGAGTTCTATTGCCATAATATTATTATTTTGATTCCACGAGTGCTAGACGTAAAAAACCACTTCCAAGACATCGACGACATAGTGCGTAAAAGATTTGGGTTTGCTCTATTTTGAGTTTTCCTCGCGTGAAGAAGTTTGAAACACTATCAATATTATAATCTTGCCCTTTGTTTTTCGAGAATATTTTATAATCTCTAACTTTTGATAAATGAATCTTGACTCTGTACTTTGTCCGTGGACATAGGCTTAAACTAATATTTTATATAGAGCAATGTTATTGATACTTACTTTGTGAATTTAATTTGAAAATTTAATATATTGTGACATATGAATTAATATAATATTAGATCTTTTAATTAAAGTCACCAAATTTAATACTAGTACCATTGTTATTTTATATATCTGTAACACTAGACTGACCAAATTTTAGGATCAAATTTAGAGCCTAAATGACATAGCAGTTGACTTGAGTTTTTTTTGATTGATGTGATGTCATTTAAGCCCTAATAAAAATTCCAAATAATCAATTATCATATCATTTGGACTCTAAATTTAATCAACGTAACATTACTCTTTATATATAACGTCGGTGACTCGGTGTTTCTATTCCGAGCACATTTGGGGGTCCCACGGTTGCCATTACCACCTGGTCCTAAAATGGTTTGAACTTTGAACCCCATTAAACCATAGGAAAGGTATGACCAAAAAAAAAAAAAACCATAGGAAAGGTCAAGTGGGTATATATTACATGATGTAAACAGATCTTTTGAATCACCATCCCATTATAAGTTATCATGCTGCTAGTAAAATATTGGAGATCAGAGACTGGCTTGCAGAATTGGACAGAAATTAAAATAAGCATATAATGTCTTTGAGTGACACTTTTTTTTTTTTATATTAAAATAAAATGCAGGAGATTGTGTTTTCATTGGGTGGTTGTGAGCAATGTTTGAATACTATAAAAATATGTTGGTAAAAAAAAAAAACAGTGTGCTCTTTATAATGCTTACTCCAATGAAAGCAAGGTGTTGTATTATCAACATTATTTTAAGGGAGAATTACACACAGACTCTCTGAAGTTTGTCACTTAATTACTTAGATTTTCTGACATTTAAAATATTACACACAGACCTCCTGAAGTTTATACATGTGTAATATTTAGACCCCTGCCGTCAAATGCCCGTTATTATAACTGTTAGTAAATTACATTTAGACATCTTGAAGTTTGTAATTGTATAATGTTTAAACCCCTCCAATTTAAAATGTATACTTAGACAAAGAATACTCTAATTAAAGACAGAATATCAAATATTTTAAATTTTATAACAAAAATTTATGTTATATTATATCATTTATTGAAATAAAATAAAAAATAAAAATTAAATTTTTCTTAAAAAATCGTAATTAATATACAATTATACTTTTTTTTTGGATATTTTTTTTGGGGGAGGGTGAGGGGGAGAAGGAGGAGACTTGAACCCTTAACCTCAAAAAAATAAAATCTTTACAAGGCAAGGAGTCTAAGTCATTCATAATACTAAAACTAAAAAATCAAACAAGGTGTCTAAGTCATTCATAATAGAACATGAATTTTAGTTGTAAAATCAAAATCAAATAAAATCAAAAATAAAAATCTACTTAAAAAAAAAAATTATAATTAGTATATAATTATATTATCTATTGGAATAAAACTAAAAAATAAATAAGGAGTCAAACTATAATGGACACAATATATTCTAACTTTAATTGGAGTAATTTGTATACTAATTATGATATTTTAAGGAAAAAATAGATTTTTATTTCCTATTTTACTTCAATAAATGTCATAATAGAACATTAATTTTGTTTATAAAATTTAAAATATCTGATATTTTATCTTTGATTGAAGTATTTTTGGTCTAAATATAATATTTGAAACTTGAAAGTTTTAAGTATTATATTCTTATAAACTTCAGGAGGTCTAAATATAATTTATTAACGAATATACTAACGGATATTGACAACAGGGGTCTAAGTGTTACACACATATAAATTTTAGGGAATTTCTGTATAATATTTTAATTATTAAAGGATTTGAGTGATTAAATGATAAATCTTATGTGGCCCGAGTGTAATTATCTTTTATTTTAAACATCCTTGCTATGGAGCCAAACCCAAAAATCAATGCTTCAAAAGTACGGTCAAAGGGTGTCGACCGAAAACCGTCGACATCAACCCAATACGATACAATTTTAAAATTGACACGATTATTAGATATACATAATAAATATTTTAGATTAATGTTTGACACTTAGAATACATTGAATATATATACATTTTTCATTCGTGAGTCATGACACAAACACAACACAAATAATAATGATATAACATAAAAATACCCGATATACATGTCATACGACATGACGCGAATTGACACATTTATTCATAAGTGATAAAAAAATGCTTATGAACCCGTCAAGATTGTGTGGATGAAATATTTTTTTCATCCTTTTTTATTTTATTTACGAAAAGTTGAATGAAAAAAAACTCTCATGTTCGGTTCTGTGATAGAGATAGAATTCAAAAACAACCATCAATTATCAAGAATTTCATAGAGAAAGAACCAGATTCCATAAACAACATAGAGAAAGGATGAAGAGAAAATCTTATATCAAGGTAATTATATTTATTTCAGTATATATGCTCTTCATGCGCTTGAACCTATTTGGATCACATCTAGACAAACTGAAATAGGTCGACAAGTAATGACACAAAATGCACGTCATGGTGAAAAAATATAGGTACGAATATTTTCAGACAAATCAATTACACTAAGACCTATAAAAACACATACAAGTCCAGAGAATTTCAAAGTTCTAAATTCAATTCTTGCAAAAGATATTATAATTGACTCAATGACTGTAATTTGTGAGCGAGTGTACAAATCCCAAACTCACATAGCACTTCTAAGTACCAAAAGTATGTGACTGGAACGACTCTGGGCCATTGCAACAAAAACAAATCTGTATGAATCTTCATGTTATTGGATCACAGTCAACTAATCCATTTTTTTCCATGTAAAAGCTTAAGTAATTGCAGTGGCGGCAGACTTCACTCCAATGCACGCTTGTATTTTAGTCACATTTTTAAAAAAAATTTAGTATCGATTTTATAGTTATATTTTGTCTCGTTTAGGCAAATTCTCGATTCTGCCCCTGCTTTTATTGTACTGACTCACGAGGAGAGATGTTGTTCTCCATTGTTTGCAATCACGCCTCCTTTTCTTTCCCTCCGCAACACCCCTAAATGCCCCCCTCCATTGCCATTGCCGGTTCCAGCACAACAAAGGCTGTTACTGAATTTGTCTAAGTTGTGTAATCAAAGCAAATTCGAATTCTGCTCGATATCACTTTAAATCGACACTAATTTTTACAAAAATAAATTGAATATAAATTATAACTTATGTAGTGTTATTTGAGTTCAATCTGAGTTGAACATATATATTATGATCGAATAATACTTGGGTTCAAGGGTTCGAACTGAATTCAAGTTAAACTCGAGGTAAGTTTTTTTCTTTTTTCTTTTGTAACTTGAGGTGAGTGTTGCGAGTTAACCTTTAGTCCGCTCAGCTCAACCTTGAGCTGAAACCTTAGTTGAACCTTCGGTAAAGCAAAGGAAAACAAGCACGAACCTCAGAGCTAAGCCTCCTGAATAACATACCCTACACCCAAGCCGAAGCCCAGGCCAAAGACCCAACTCAAGCCCAGCCACGACACAATAAGATATTTTTCAAAGGAAAAAAAAAGATAAAATGCACTTTTAATCCCCAAAGTATGCATTTAGTGTCTATATAGTCCTCAATCTTTTATTTATATCTATTTGGTTTATAAGTTCTAATTTGTATCTATGTGGTCTAATTTCAAACATTTGTAAAAAAATCGTTAACGTCTCTGATCACGTGCCAATTATATGAGACTAAATAGACACAAATTAAAATTTTTAGAACCAAATGAATACAAAATTAAGAATAACGTGATTGACACGTGATCAAAACCGTCACAATTTTTGAACGAAGGTGTAGAATTGAATCACATAAATATATATTAAAAATTTTATTGATCGAATAGATTTTTTATATTTTATTCAAAAGAAAACAACAAAGAATGGCCAATAGGGTTCAAGAGAGGTTTTATAATCGTCCTCCCCGGTGTCTCTCTGTGTTTCCTCTGTATTTGTCATTTGTTTTTCATTCGAATTTTGGGTATCTTATCTTCCACCGAAACCATAGATACTCACAGCCCTGGCTTCCACAGCTTCCTTCTCACTGAGCCACACAGCTCAACTCTACACCAATAATGTCAAATCATACCACAAAAAACCGCGGAAGAACCTCGCCCCCGACATTTGCAAATTCGCGCAAACCCCCTCTCTTTCTTCTTCTTCTTCTTTTCCTTATACGCTCAAACTACCTTCCTTGAGCAACCCGTTTCCTTCAACTCATTTAGACCACTTGTCAGACTCGACGGACGATAATTTCACTGAAAACCTCAAAGATTTGGCAAATTTACAAGCGATCTCTGATGGGTTTTATGAATGTATGCCCAAAGAATCCACCAGCAGAGTTTTCATTCAAGGCCCACCTTGGATTTCTTCACTATTTATGAAGAACTTGTACAGAAAGACTAAACAGAAAAATGGGGTCAAAATAGAATTTCAAGAAATGGAGAGGGGAAAGTATTATTTGTTGAGGAGGAGACAGGTCAAGGCAGAGACTGAGGCTTGGGAGAAGATGGTGGAGGAGTATAGAGAGTTGGAAAGAGAAATGTGCGAGAAAAAATTGGCACCCAACTTGCCTTATGTGAAGAAATTGTTTTTGGGTTGGTTTGAGCCATTAAGGGTGGCTATTGAGAAGGAACAAAAAACGCAGAGGACAAAGAAGCATAAGGCAGCCTTTGCACCATATATTGGTTCATTGCCCGCGGATAAGATGGCAGTTATTGTGATGCATAAGTTGATGGGGTTGTTGATGATGGGGCATGAAAATAGGTGTGTCCGAGTGGTTCAAGCGGCGGTTCAGATTGGTGTGGCAATTGAACAGGAGGTGAATATTGATTTTTTTGAAATTTATGGGTTCTGATTATTAGAGTTTTTTTTTTGCACATCGGTACAAGAATGTCTTCTACAATAGTATATGACCCATGCGAGTCTCTCCCTTCATTGCCAATTGGTTTTGAGTTTGATGCTTTTGTATGAGTTATGCCTTAGCCTCCTAGGTATTTGTAGATAGTAGTTGCTGTATTGGTTGGATACGATGGTGGAATAGTCATGGATGGTTACCTGCTTGAAACAAGAGTAGTAGCATGCAACTATGTAAAAGGACCTATTATTTGATTGTATAATATATGCTAAGCTCATGTTAAGTGGAATTCTAAACTGGTTGCTTTTGGAAGTAAAACTAGAGAAGTATTTTGACCAATGCAGCAAAATTGTAATATACAACTCAACAAAAACCTTGTCCTAACTCCTAACTATTTGGTAGCAAAAGTCTGACATAGAATAAAACTATTAATGCGTAGTTGTATATACTTTTAGAATAGATTGTGAAGTATTGATTTAAATGTGAAATGATTAAGTTGGGACAGGTTCAAGTATGTGTGAATGAATACGAGTTACCTACATCTAAAGCATGACATTGTGTCTTATTATCTTAACACTATAACATCTTCGAAGGTAGAAATGGCAAACTATTTTGATAATTTGAGTTGTGATTATCTTATTTTTCTATTTGATAATTCATGATCTATTTTGAATACTATAGCATCTTGAATTGATCTACATGATTACCACCTCGTCTGGAGTAAATGAGTTATTTAATCAATGTTTTCATTTTATCCAGGTGTGACACGTATGTAAAACCTTATTCTAATTTAGGAAGATTCTTGTCGGTTTATGCATGGATACATTAAGTCTTGAGAGAGAATGCTTGAAATGTTATTGGAAAGGAAATTGATGAAAGCAGGATATAGGTTGTCGTACAATTTTAAGTCTCTATATTGTGGGATGTCCAGTGGTTGGGAAACCCCAACATTGATACTTGGAGTTCTAATCCGGTGTGATGCATATCAGATATTTGCCAAACTTAATACATCAATGGCCCAAATTATATCACTAAAGGGAAAAAGCCCATGTCGCGTGTGCCTCGACTGCACCTTAATGAAGTCGCCTCGGCTCAAGCTTATTGAGGCGTTTCAGGTGCGTCTTGCCTCGCCTCGGGCGTAGGCGAGCACCTAGGCGTGCTTTTATAATTAGATGACATTAGGTTCCTTGAATTTTACAGTCCTAGTTAGAGTTAGGAACAGTTGGACAAGGGATGCACCAATTGGAGGAGCAACAACCTTAATCATCCTCTTCCTTGTCCATGTAATTCATGTAACGCGTTTTTTTTTCCTTTTTCATGAAATTTTCCATTGATATTGTGCAATGAATTAATTTTTAGTTGTTAGTCTGTTTTTATTTCTGGTTCTGACTGGTCAGCATATGGGCTTCATCCAATCTGCAATGAAGTTTAAACTGAGAACTGGTTTAGATGGTATGATGTTTCCATTGGTGCTCAAAATCAATTTTTGGTTGCTGCCCAAATTGTAGTGGTTTCTAAGCTGGTTCAAATGAGAAAATCAGATTGTTTTACTGAATATTCTGGCTAGGTGAAACGACTAAGGTAAGTCTTTGTGGTCATTGATGTTCAATTGGCATCTCCATATGAATGCTTAAGTTACTTTTGTGAATGCTAGAAATCCATTGAATCTTACAATGTGACTTTTTTTCTGTAAGCAACTTCAGTTATTTTGCTGTGGTGATGTCGGGAGGAAGATTTTTTCTAACTTGTCTCTTAGCAAGTAGCCCTGATTTTACTGACTGACATATCATCAATTATATTATCACCATAACCTTATTTTTCAGGTTAAGATTCATAGTTTTTTGGAGAAAACTAAAAAATACCAGAGAAAAAAGATTGTAGCTCAAACTCAAGAAGAATTGAGTAAGGACACAGAAATGCTAAGAACCCGTGTTAAAAGTTTGATCAAAAGGAAAAGAATAATTGAGGTGCAAAAGCTGGTGAAAAATGAAGAAACTAAGCCTTGGGGTCGAGATACTCAGGCTAAGGTTTGTATTTTACCTTCTGAAATGATCATCTGATTGTACATATATTTGTTAATCGATGTAATAAATTGAGCGTTCAATTTCTTTTAATGCAGCTGGGATGTTGTCTGATAGAATTATTGACAGAATCAGCTTATGTGCAACCTCCACTTAACCAATCAGCAGATAGTCCACCTGATATCCGACCTGCATTTAGGCACACATTCAAGATTGCTCCAAAGGAACCAGGGTTAGAAACATTTCTTCTTTTTAATTTATCCTTCATAATCTGCACTTTTTATACTGGAATCAAAGATATCTCAAGTGTCTGATGGACCAGAATACCAGATTGCATGTCTCGAAACTTGGGGGGTTTGTGACTCGGATAGTCTGAATTCTAAATACCAAATTGTAACTCAAACCCCAAACTGACTCACAATCTTGGTAATTTTAAATTGATATATTGATTGTTGTGATTTGATTTTTTTTTTTCACAATGCAAATATGCAATACAATTTTTTTTTCTCACAATACAAATATGCAATCTCTAGTGTTTATTATTTACATCCATTGGCAGGTACATTGTCTTGAACTATGATTCATGTTGGAACTTGGAACTCTTACAAAAAAAAATGAAATAAATATTAGTTAAGTATGTGTATATGGATGTATTTTAGTACCTACAATATCATATAATATTGAAAGAGACTGGATAAGAGTTACAAAGTGAATCACGACCCAAAATATTGTACCAACTAAGTCTTACGCTATCGTATTGAAAAAGTATCATACCGCGTACCCATTCTCATATTATGTATCAAATTGTTGTTGAGCCAAGCCTAAATGAATGGTCCATGCTCAATTCTGCATAAATTTGTGCAATTCTGTATTCTAGAGGTGGCCAACTAATTGAATTGTTCAGAGTGAAGTCATAATGGGCAAATTCCATTGCACATTGGGTAGTTTCACTGAAGACGATCATTGACGTGACTCTGTTTTGAATGTCTTCCTCGTATGTATGGTGGCCATGATTTGCTATTTGTTCCTTGTAGGCAGAGTGTTGTGAAAAAATATGGAGTCATAGAATGTGATCCCCTGGTCCTTGCTGGACTTGATAGAACTGTGAGTAAACACATCTTTTTTGTGGTTCTGATATTTCCTGCTTGTTCTACTTGGTAATTATTTCAGCACTATGGTGTAGATTCTTTTCTTGGTATTTTGTGCTTCTCCAACTACACTGAAAATAAACTGTTTTTAGGGGTCTTCCGATCATTCTTCATATTTGTTGTTAGTGTGATATCTGATGCTTCTCAAAAGTTAATTGAAACATGGTTCTCTCCTTGAACATGCCTCTCAGATGACTGCCTACTAAAACTTCTGTCATTTATAAAAATCAGATGCAGTTCTTTTTCTGCATGACCTTGACAAACATATAAGGCTCGGATTGATACCCAGTTTCTCACTTTCTATTTATTTAATCTTAAGAGTCTTTTTCTGTATGCAGGTTAAGCATATGATCATTCCTTATGTGCCGATGTTGGTGCCTCCCAAAAAATGGAAAGGGTATGATAGTACTTTAGCATGTGATAGGATGTCTGTTTGTCCATTGAGGTGGTCAGATTTTGTAAATTTGTTGGGTGGACAATGTTGAACGTGACATGCTGTGATACACTCTTGATCTCCGCCTCACAAAAGCAACAAACTGTAATATAGTTAGGCGAATAAAGTTAGTTGAAATGTAATCAAAACTATCTCTGGGTCAGAAGTAGAAGGGGATGAGGGCTATTATCAACCTGAATTAATTCTTCCTGGGTCTCTAGTATCTTATAAACTCTTCATTACAGGTATGACAAAGGTGGGTACTTGTTCTTACCTTCATATCTCATGCGTACACATGGATCAAGGCAGCAGCAAGATGCCATTAAAAGTGTTCCTGCAAAACAAATGCAGAAAGTATATGAGGTAAGAGTATGTCTTCTTTGCATCTTTTGTATGGTTGTAGCCTGTAGGTCAAGGCCACTGATTCCAGTTTGTTCAGCCAATCGGAGTCTGCTGGCATCGAATTGGGGGGTTTTGGTTGTTTGATCCATCTCATTCTGGTCATTAACTTGATGGAATTGTGGGTATCAAGTTCTATAGGGATGGAGGAAAGGTTGTTTCTTTGGTTTATAAATGCAGACACTGGATTTTAGCTATCAAAGGCGGAACAAGTTAAGGCTTTTGTCTTTCAGGTTCCTATTGGGTATCAGTGCTGCTAATTCAAAATTGCCTTTTTTAAAGATATTTTGTTCTTGTTCAGAAAAAAAGACAGTGTTTTGTTATTGAAAGCTACCTTGTCCTCCTCAGCTGCATTTTTTTTTTCTGGTGATGAATCTTGCTTCTTATCTGAAGAATTAGAAGGAAGAGAGAGTTAAAAAGAGGATGAATGCATATGTTGTGAGGGTCCACAGTTGCACCAATTGGGAAAGTCAAGTGAAAATCTTATTAAGCTAGTGTGGTTTGGTGCAATGAAATCCAATAATTGCATTTGAAGAGTGGAGGTTTTTTCCAACTAGCTGAATAGTTTAGGTTTTTCAGAGAGGAGAGTTGTGGTGGTGGTGATGTAATACTTAATACTCCAAGTTCAAACCAAGTTCAACAATCTCATCACAAGTACTTTGAAAAATTCTGGTTGAAAGTCGGGTAGGGGTTAAGCTTGGGTTGGGGTTTTATTACTTGGGTGAGCCCAGATTGACCTCTCAATTTTCCTAGCCACCCAAGTTGCATCCCTATTGTGTGGATGCTACTTTATATTCATTATCTGTGTTTCTTCTGTGAATCTCAGGGTGTTTAAATTCAAGCCTTAGTTATTTTGACTAATTTGTACACAGTTTGCAACATTTTTATCTAAGCAAAATAGGGATGCCACGGTTAGTTTTCCCATGGAGTAAACAGGATAGAGATGAAATCTCCCATTACCATGGAAATATACTCTCTGTGAGGAAATCAAGAAGCTTTAGGTGAAAATTTTGAAATATTGGACTCAAGAAGGAAACTGTAATTGCTTATTAGTATCATGTAATTTGTTTTGTGCCTCACAAGAGAGTAATAACTATGCTCAAGTGCTCTTTCTATGCTTCTTATTTGCATATAACTGCCATATAAATCCATGTGGCTTCCCCAGTCCATGCAGCGTGAGGTTAATCAACTCGTAGATCATAATTCAAATTACACGTGGACAGGCATTGGATACACTTGGGAACACCAAATGGAGAGTGAACAAAAGAGTACTTAGTGTGGTGGAGAGCATTTGGGCTGCAGGTGGCAACATTGCGGGACTAGTTAATCGTGAAAATGTGAGTCCATCCCAATAGGTGCAATTTCACTGAAAAATATTGCCAGTAACAGAGACTTGACTTGATAGCTTTTTTGGTTTTTGATATTGAATGGCAGAACATTTGTGAACTGATTAAACGATCCTTGCCACTATATCTCATAGAGGTTTTTAAATATTTAATGGTTATCCAAAAGGATTTTTTTAATGACTTATAGTTGTTTAAGGACAATTCTTCATTTCTTCTGGATGGTTAATCTGACATTTAGTTTTTATAGTTTTTTTGTTTGTTATAGCTTATATATCTTATGTTGCCTGGGATGCATTTTTCATTGGCTTGTAGGTTCCCATACCTGAGAAACACTCGGAGGACTTGGGAGAATTAAAAATATGGAAATGGAATGTCAGGAAAGCGAAAAAAATTAACCAAGAGAGGCATTCTCAACGATGTGACACTGAACTTAAGCTTTCGGTAAGGTTGCTTCCTTTTGGAGATCATTATCTTGCTGCTGTATAACGTACCATTGAGAAGTTGCTGCAACTGACTCACCAACTATGGACTTGAAACTTATTCGGAGTTCTCTTATTAGTTTTGTCTAGTTCTTATTTCTCTTTATGTTTATGTCGTTTATTCCTGCAAAGTATATTGAGTTTGCACTCACAGTATATTGCTGAAGTGCCTCATAATATGGAATGTTAGAAAAACCCTGGCATCTAGCCATTCTGAGGTTACCAGGGTGAATTGGGAAAAAATATTAATACAATTTGATCAGATGAAACGTTGACTTTAATACTAGATGCTTTAGGTTTCATCATGTACTATGTAGGAGTTGATTCGATGCAGGCCTAAGAGACAAGGAGAAGAAACTTTAAGAAAGGACAAATGTGAGATTTCATCATAATTTAAAGGTCGAACTAGTAGAAAGGAACTGATTTCTTAAAAGTATTTCAGTGTCTTTCCGCTAAATATATTAGTGACTAACTAAGTATTCACGTTTTACGAGTACTTTAGTTATATCATTTGACCAATTGTAACTTCTTGATTACAGTTTGTGTTCTTGGGAGTTATGTCATTTTGTTTATGGGCTGCAGAATTAGTATGAGAAGTGTACTCTTTTTGCATGGTGGTTTTGGTGTCCAAAGTATAGAAATCAAAGTCCCTAGTGCCCAAGTTAAAAGTCAAAGTACTTAGATGCTCAATTTACTGGAGTACCAAGCACTTCTTGGTCAAATATTAGCCCTCTATATATTGTCAAATCCCTATAGTTTTGCTTATTGAATGGTGAATCAGAGATAGTCCTGTGAAAATTTGAGATGTGTGATGCACCTTTCTCCTCGGTTGGATGTCCAAGCACCACAGGTCTGAGGCCCAGTTTGTCCCATTTTAATCAAATCTGCATCTCATCCTGTTCCCTTTTTGCTCAAGTTTGTGCTGCATCAGGATATTTGATGTAAGAGTAGATGCTGACACTGCTTCTCTTGGACCAGGTCGCTCGTAAAATGAAAGATGAGGAAGGTTTCTACTATCCTCACAATCTTGATTTCCGAGGCCGTGCTTATCCTATGCATCCACATCTGAATCATCTGAGTTCAGATCTCTGTCGAGGAGTTCTTGAGTTTGCTGAAGGACGACCATTAGGGAAGTCAGGATTACGTTGGCTAAAGATACATTTAGCAAATCTTTATGCTGGCGGTGTTGATAAGCTTTCCTATGATGGGCGTCTAGCGTTTGTGGATAACCGTTTGAATGAAATACTGGATTCAGCAGACAACCCTCTGAATGGGAATCGCTGGTGGTTAACCGCTGAGGACCCTTTTCAGTGCTTAGCAGCTTGTATCAATCTGTCAGAAGCCATGAAAAGCTCATCACCACATACTGTTATCTCCCACCTGCCAATTCATCAGGTCAGTGCTTTGTAGGATACCCTGCAATCGCAATGTCATTGTGCTGGAATACCTTATGTTTCTTTTGGAGTCTCCCAAAAACCAAAGCTGATCCAAATCTGAAATTTTTTTTGTGAAGTTAGGTTTTTACCAGATAATTGGCATTATATAATGTAGTTTCTATAAAAATTATCCCCTAATTTCACAAAAACAATTTACTAAATTGAAGTGTTTAATTCAGTCTTATACATTTATAGTTGAATCTTATTGATCAGTTTCGTCTTTGGACGAGTATTGAATCAGTATCGTAATCAAATTCTAATAGCATTTGAATTCTGGTCGGAATTTGATGGTGATGAGCTGGATCCTATTCTTGGCCTAGAAATTATAATTTTACCTGCACACTTGAGGAGATGCTGGAAGGAAACCTTTTGCAGGATTTCTTTGATAAACATGGAACAAACTGAAGGTCCCTTTTCCTTTGCAACAGATGCTATTTTGAGTTGCTTTTTATGTTGATATTATCTTAATTGAAATGTCTTCATCTGTAAGACATAGGTTAGGCCTCAGCTTAAAGTTGCATATTCCCCAGATTAACTAGGTGTTTTGCACTTAATCATGAGATATGCCTTTTTTACCATATGTTTATGCATGTTCAATTATGCATTTCTTCGACACAGATGTGTTACTATTGATGCAGTTGCTAGCAATGGTTTGATTTGGATAAGCTACTTATATGTGTACTCTGTATGATGTGATTTATGCAGTTCGTTGTCTGGTTTCACTTGTTTTCATCTAAATTCTTTGCTTCTGACAGAATTGTCCATTTCTGGGAATAACACATTCAGCCCATTTATTTGGTTTTAATCTGATCTTATCTGTGCTTTCTCTTTCAGGATGGTTCATGCAATGGCTTACAGCACTATGCTGCTCTGGGCAGAGACACTGTATGTTTGCATTTTGAACATACTATGTGTTCATCACTTGCTGCATGTCATTTTTTTGCATCATACTCTGTTTTCCTCATCATTTTTCTGTGTCATTTGGACAATTATGCGGCAACCCATGTTTATGAGGCTATTGAGGTCTAATATTCACTTGCTATGATATTCTGCGGATACTCCTCTTTTAGTGATTACAACAATCTTACCTACTGATGCACAACCATTTCAGTTGGGACTGTTGCTTTACCTGCATAGCAGCCAGACCTTTAAACTTCATGATATTCCAGAAAACGATTCTATCTCTATGGTGTATGAATTATGATTTTGAATTTCAAATTTTTATCTACATACTTCTTTTGTTTTAGCATGTAGCATTTGTGCTGTTAACTGCTCCATTTATTTCATTTTCATTTCTTTTCCTTAACAGTTTGGGCTTCTGATTATTGAATTTTTGTTAAATACTTTGTCTCTTGATGTCAAGCTTTCCTGATTTGCAGATTGTTTTAAAGGGCACCTTACACTCTTATTCCATGTTGTGGTTCTGTCATTGCAGTTAGAAGCAGCTGCTGTCAACCTAGTTGCTCGAGATAAACCTGGTGATGTTTACTCGGAAATTGCAGCAAGGTATAAATATACATCTATGTAATATTATAGTTAGGAAGTTGAATTCTCAACTTATAAAAGCATAACAATGGTCAAGATTGATTCAATCTTCATCTACTTTGATTCAATGGTACAAAATTCATCTTAAATTTTTTTTTTTCACGTCCAAAAATATCAACTTTTGCACGACCCTTAATACTAGACGACTCAATCCACACACTTCCCAATGTCAAACAATCCCATCAAACCACACCTACCTCTCTCTTCATTTTAATTTAAAATTGCGTAATTAAAAAAAAAATTAAATTATTATTTAAAATACAAATATTGCAAGATCAGTTCAATTTTTTATATTGTATAGTGTCTTCAAACACATGATTTTTGCTAGTAAATAGATATTGTGCTTCAAATTCAAGCATTGAGATGTCTTTGTCAAGGAATAATGATTAATGACAACCCCGATTAGCACTTATAAACTACCTTTCCATAGCAATTCAGTCTTATTTGGATTTAATCTATTTGTCATTAGTCGCATACAAAATGCATTATTTTTGCGATCTTAGATTTTGGTGGAGGAAATCGTGGTAAATAGTCTAGATAACCCTGGCCCAAACCCATGGTCTTACTCTAACCCATTGACTCTTAGTTGAAACGTGCTTGGTTTTGATCTAGCTATAATGCGGTCAATTTTACTTGATAGAAGCCCATGGTCTTACTCTAATCCATTGACTCTTAGTTGAAACGTGCTTGGTTTTGATCTAGCTATAATGCGGTCAATTTTACTTGTTCTTCTATCAGACTATTAGTTTTTTTTTTGTGGAAAATTGTTTTATTTTATTTGATAGTCAGCAAGGATCAAATTTTCGTTTTGGTGATGTTGGAAATGGAAACATTTCGAAAACAAGATGAAATCGAAGAAAAAATTTTAAAATTTGTTTATGAAACATTGGTTCAAATAGCCGAAGCACTCCTAAACATAGATTAAAACACACCGAAACATCTCGAATCATACCAAAACACCATGAAACATATAAATTTTGATATTTAATCAATGATTTGTTTCGATTTCCATGAAAATGGAAACGTTTTGAACGATTCCGCAGTTTTGAAAGGAAATTTAATTCCTTGATAGTCAGGTAAAGTTCATGAAATTTTCTCTAGGCGATATACAATTGCAAGACCTTAAATTCCCTCAAAGTGGGAATATGAGGATACTATCTAGTTGATCAAATTTGATATCATACATTGTCTTTTTTACGATGTTGCACCTCTGTACTGATGCACTTATTAGTTCTCGACTTCTCGTCACATTTTCGTCTTCAATGTATTGGTGCTAAAAGTTTCATTTTATGGGTAAGCCGTAAAAAACACGTATTGATATCTTCTTTTATTAGTTGAATTCTTACTTATTGTGAGCATATCTAGAACTTTAACCCTCCCCCCCCTCTCCATAGGTTATTTCAAAGGCAAATGTTGAGAACATAAACTCTAGTTCATTTTTCAGATACTTAATCTGATTCTAGTGGGCCTATTAAATGGTGATTATGATCTAGAAAAGAACAAAATGAACTCCTCTTTACAATTTTTTTTGCTTACTTCATTGTGCCATTTTGCATCCTTTGCTAGTTTATCTTTCCTTGTCAGTAACCGAAAATAATTATCATAGTAACAACTAGTCATGCCTCGTGTGAAGAACATTTTTTTTTAATGTATGAGTTTAGTTACTTGAGGTAAAAAATTTAAAATTTAAGTGAGTTATTGTGATTAAAAGTTAAAATTTAAATGAGTTACCGTAGTTAATAAGTTAAAGTGAAAATTTCAATGAGTTATTGTAGTTAAAAATTTTAAAAATTAAATATAAACCGTCGGATCTAAACAATCTGGACCGTTGTGTTTTTCTAACTAAAGAGCTTAAGCAGCTAAAACATGAGGCTCTGTTTTATTATTATTATAGATATCAACAACAACGACAACAATGACAACGACAACAACACGAAGTTAATAATGATAAGAAAAGACATATAATCTCCTTGTGGATCCAGTACAATATAGTTCATAATATTCGTATAGGATCGAACAAATTCATGTAAATACTATAATCCTTTTTTGCATTAGATGATAGAAACTTGGAAGGATGGACAGGTAAGATGGATTGAAAAAGGCATCCCAAGGGAAATGAATCTGTAGTTCCATCATCTTGTTCTAATTTCTATTGAATGAGAAGGAAAGGAATATGGATAATGAGTGTTAGCTTTGATTACTATGCCTTACATATTATATAAAGGATTTGACCAAATAGGATCGTCCATTTCCTATAAAACTTATCACTAAAATACCCCTAGAGGGGATAAGGCTAAGCGGAGTGAAAAAAGTTTTCCATGAGATGGGAAATAAAAACTATTAGTCCCAGGCGAGATTTGTGAATAAATGATTGTCTGATAATGATAATGAGCAAGGAATATCCGTCTTTCTGTCAAAAAAGATGTATTTAACTCATAATTCATTAGATACTTTTTATGAATGTCAACTAAGTATCATAAGTAAATTGCTCCTGATTGTTCAATCATTTGAAATCATAGTCATACTTTGATAAATGATCACTATAAGTCAGACTCAATAGAATTTGATTAATCCTTTTTTTTTTTTTCTCTGTTGTTAAGGTGGAGAATTGAACCAAAAATTTTCTTTCTTCATCGTCAATCGAATCACTATATGCGACCCAGGATTTTATTTTATCATCAATCTAACCCTTGTTCACGTTTTTCCTTTTTCTTATCAATGAATAGATCTCTTTACTTGTATGCCTTAGATGTCTTGTATTTCTCGAAAAAGTGATTCAATTGATGGGATTTGGTATGATACTTATGAGATCGATGAGATTGATATTCAAATGTTTCTTCTTAAAGCCTATTGATTTGACCCCATAAGCGGGACCACCACCCAAACTCCTTTCTTTTGCTTTTCTTGATTCACTTTGGTATATTACTTGCATCCTCTCTTCCCTTCGCTAATCCTTCTGTTCTTTGTAAATGATGAAAACCCTTATCATCATTACCCCTTCTTCCTCTTTCAGTCTTCCTTCCTAGCATATCATCAAAAGGACCGTTAGTGCTTTGTCATCACTAGACCTGGATGCCAATACAACATTACCAGCTAGATCTTCTCGTAGCAACATCATCAAAGGGCTATGAGGCACCAGAAGGTCCCTCTTTATAGATCAGCTTACACCAAGTAAATTTGGTTTCATAATCTTTGGAAGATCATCTGTAGACTCATCTTGAGCAGTTTGCCCATCCATAGCAGGGATAAAATAGTGTAGCATAGAGGCAGTTGAACAACGTCTAAACTAAATTTAGGGTAGGGGCCTCTAATATTTTCTTCTATGGATACACTCTGATTACAGGTACTAGAGTTTTGAAAGTAATCAATAGAAGAGAAACCTATCCCCTTTACATGTGTAATTTATCAACCAGTGGGAAAATGGGTGGAATCAGACATGGCTTAATTCAAGTTGGGTTTAGAACAACCCCACTGCAACCGTTAGCTTGCCACTCAGGTCAGACTTCCAAAATCAGGAAGAGGAAAAATAAGAGGAATATTTTTGACCTAGCTATATCATAGGAAGGCTAATCGTATCAAATATCATATTGATCGAGTTCAGAGGTGTATCTTAGCCTTAACAAGCTTATAAGTATGTAAGCTTATGTTGAATCAGCTTCATCTTTGGTTGCATCGTAGCAAGATGCTGGTGCTCCATTTGTTTTGGAGAGCGACCTGGCAAGATTAATTTGTATTTAGCTGCACGATTAGAACTGAGGATTTTTTAGCTGGGCAAATGACTAGTCATTTTCTGTCCATGTAATGCATTGGACCACAAGCTTAAAGCTCAACTTTAGACCAAATTTACCTGGGATCTATTTTGTACCAATTAGGACCTTGCAAGCCTCATAGTTCTCTGGTTTAGAAAGTCTTCGGTCAGTCTCTGGAGGTGTAGGTTTATAGTTAACACCCACCGAAGTTATGAAAATTCATCGCAAGTGCCAAGGTTGTTCTACCACTTAACATACAAAAAATAAGTAATAGAAGAAAAGCCCCATCAACTTTTCCCACATCAATAAAACATCAGCTCCCAAACTAGTATATGAGCTTCATGAGTCTCTCCTTTTATAGTGTTAGTTGGGTTTGGTTACATACTTTAGTATGGCATCAAAGCGAGGCTACAAGAGAGAGACATTTAGTCAAGACTGGCTATTTCATGTTAATTAACTGCTCATTTGTTTGTGCCTTAAGTGTACCTTTTTATATTTTGATCCAGTCTCTTGTATCTTCTGTCAATTTCTCTGCGTGCGAGTTGGGGGTCATAGGTGTAGTAGAGTATTGATTGGAACTTGTGCTATGTCAATAGAATAACTGCTTCCAATCTAGTATATTAGCCTCATGAGCCTCTCCACTATTTACTAATTGCTTTTGAGTTTTTTTTTTCTTGGTCATGTATTATTACTGGGGAGGGGGACGACAAGGTTCAAATTCACGACCTTAAGGTCCAACAACGGGGCAGTGGCATTTAGGCCAACCGCTGACCTCTTGATTTTGAGTTGGATGTTTAACAATGAAAGGAGAAAAACGTCCCAAGATTATTTCAACCATACAGGTACACATAATTGAAGAGTAGAAAGATTTTCAAACAGCGAGGTTAGATTTGGGGAGAAACCATGAAGTGTATCCTTGCCAACTATGTGAACTGAGAGCTGTGCTTACAATCATATGAAAGAATGCTTTTGTGCAACTTGTCTTTAAAAATCAACTCCATTTCCACTTATCTTACTCATGTTGAAAAGATTTTCGAACCTTAGAACTCCTCATCTGTTACCAATTATTTTTTGGTCAACTAGCTCTGATAGTTTGTTTCCAACCCGATGGTCATATTATGGACTTGTAAGATACTTTTACGACCAGGATGTTACACCGGACTTTTACACGAGTTGTGAAGAGTTTGTTTTCTCATTTTAAATTTCTTAAGGCTTTCTTTACACAATTTTTACAATATTGTTTTGGTCCAACCATGAGTCTGACATTAGACAACAGTTGAATGATAATAAACTATAATACAAAAATTGTTTGCTGTCAGAAATCTAAATTATTAAAGACTTTGCATTGATTAGGTCATAATTGAATGACCGAATCTTCAGTTATTGAATGTGACATACTGACATTTAATTGGAATGAAATGATCTCTTGTTTGATAAAGTCACTTGCTTTGCATTGAGATAGGGCCTGAGTTCTTAAGAGATAAACCTGTAATCTCAAAAATAATTATGAAGTTTCCATCGAAATTTCCAATCCGGACAAAATTACCTCGTGTTATGTCTGAAAAAAAGAATTTGAGATCAAATATAATTAGGAAGTTTATTTGATATATTACACGTTACACCTTTTATTCGTCTGATTATTTAACTCTCTAAAGCTTTATGTAACGTGGAAAGAGGGTGTCTTCTTAGTTTTTTCTTTTGTCAACCTCTACCTACGTCCATGTCTTTACTGAGGAGAAATTCACTGGATGTGGGGAACTTCTAGGTAATTTGGTAAAATGAAAAGAAAAATCAAGTTTAAAATGTAAATAATTCCGAGTTTTTTTTCTTAATTTACATTAAGGGATTCCAATTTCTTCTTGAAATCTATGGTTTGCTAATGCTGAATGGTTTTTGGTTTTGAGTAGCATTCAGTTTTATCCCTGCAATGTTTTCGCTCCTACACTTCATTTTATAAAATTTCGCTCTTAATTTTTCTTGTCAGGGTTCATGATATCATGAAAAGGGACAGTACCAAGGACCCTGCAACCTGTTCAAATGCTTTGTTAGCTAAGATCTTAATTGGTCAGGTGGTTTTTTTTTTTGCTTCCTTCTTTTCTGTGTATTTTGGATTAATTTCTTTTGTGTTTTTTGCTCTTCTGTAGTGCAGAATCATGTTTATAGCAACTGATAGTCTAGTGTTTTGAAACTTTCAGGTGGATAGGAAGCTGGTTAAACAGACAGTGATGACTTCAGTATATGGCGTTACTTATGTTGGTGCACGTGAACAGATCAAAAGAAGATTGGAGGAGAAGGGCCAGATTACCGATGACAGGATGCTATTTAATGCAGCCTCCTATGCTGCTAAAGTAAGCATCCAGCTACCAAATGATAAAATATTCATGTTTTGTTTTGACATGGGTGTTCAGGGATAAATTTTAACCCAAACATGACTTGTTTGAAACAAGTTAATATCTTTAACAAGACATGAACTGTTTAGAAGCGTGATAACATGAGACAGCCTGTCTAATTCATCTTATCAACGGATATGCCTGGGTTAACTAAACAAAATGTTTAGCCACATCACTACGACCTGTTTAGAACCTGAATCATCTGGAATGCCGGCATGCTATATCTTCCTCATTAGTGAAAAGAATACATTAACTTATTACTAAATGGGGAAATAAAATAAGAGTCTAACACTATACAGGCATTCAATTCCATTGAAATAGGAATTCAACGCATCTAAGAACTATAACATGTTTTCCCCTATAAAAGCAATGTGGTCGTTAGAATGGTTGCATAGGGCATGTTGGAGAGTAATGGGTTGCATGAAAAGTTGCTTGCCAAAAGCCCCGTGGCAGTTGTGCTCCTGATGGCATTCCTTGTTAGTTTTTAATTATTCAAATGATAATATGCATCATTTTTCACAGATTTGAGTAATTCACTTCTCATCTTGTCGGCACAATCACAGTTGTTGCCAGTATTAAATGACCATCCTCTGTATATTCATCTGATAAGAAGGTAAGTCCAAAACTGCTTCTGGCTCTAGAGTAGCTGAACCTCCATTGAGAATGTCTTCTGCAATTCCATTTTATGGTCGTGATTTTCTTTTTTAGTTTGAGTAATAATTAAATCTACAACAAGTTCATTGTTGCCCTGATCTCCTCTTGGTCTTCCATTCACCCACATCAGTTTGTCTTATAGTGAGACACCAGAAACTCAGCAAGATTGGGTCATGCTCTGATACCACTTTATGCAGCAATAAGTGCTGCAAAAAAGAGAATGTTGCTATGAAAGGGAAATAGCCTAGATAGGCTGAAACACGGAAAATTCCAGCAATAAAATAAGTGTTAAGCCAAAATTAGTGTCTCAGCTTTTTAGATTTTTATGGACATGGTAGCAAATAACTAATCATGTTTTCTGTGGCTCATTAATGATTTGGACTTAAATAAACTGATTTCTAGGCTTCCAAACTACTGTTCTACTTCTATATATAGAGACTGGCTTTTAACATAGACCAGTTTTAATGCATAAGAAAATTATTTAGCTACCAAATTCCCAAGAAATTCTATAATAGGTTGCATTGATCTCCTGTTATGGGGCTGCATCAATCTTCAACCCTTTGTTCCAATAAAATAAAAAGACCAATGATGGGATATTCACTTTCTAATCACCGTGAAGCTAGAAAAGGTTTAATTCTCGGAGGGATCTTACCTTCCTCATTTAAAAGGGATGTAGTAACAAGAAAAATGTCTTAAAATCTATATTTAGTGGTGTTTTTTTGGGTATCATCTATCAAAATTTAGAGTTACAGGCATGTATGTTGGTTGTCTGTTTAACACAAAATTCTGTTACTGAATCATAACAGTTTGCATTATCCTTTTTCTCAACTCTATTTTTATCCACAGGTAACACTTACCGCCCTTGGAGAGATATTCCAAGCAGCGCGTGGCATAATGGGTTGGCTTGGTGATTGTGCAAATGTATGCTTTTGTGTCATATTGCAGACAGCTACTTAATTGAGGATGTACCTAATATGGAACCTTATCTTACAAGCTTTACTTTGTTAAATGGTGGAAATCATGCAGTTGATTGCTTCAGAAAATCAACCTGTGCGGTGGACAACCCCTCTAGGTCTGCCTGTCGTGCAGCCCTATTTCAAAAGTGAAAGACATGTTGTGAGTGTTCGAACTTATATCTTTCCATTTCTGTTTAGTTTCTTTCTCTCTCTGTCTCTGTCTCTGTCTCTCTTGGATGTCAAGTGTTTGGTTTTTGTTAGAATTATGAAAAATGGTACACTGACAAAATCAGTAACTTGAGTGGAGCTGTTTGTAATGGAATTTTAGAACAAGCATTGTAAGTGGTGTTTTCACCATCAATGACGATTACATGCACACTATTAGAGTTAAAAAATACAGATCTAGTTGACTTCATTTATATCTCGTCAGTAGTAGTCCTCCATCTATGCTTCAAGGATTCTAGCAACAATGTAGTGACTAGTTAAACCATGTGGCTGCAGATAAGAACTTCTCTTCAGGTATTGGCTTTGCAGCGTGAGAGTGACTCTGTAAGTTTACATTTCTCACGATCAGATTTCATGTCCTTTATTTTCAGATAGCTTGAGTAGTTGACAACACTTTAATCATCATGTTCTGACATTAGGTTGTGATCAGAAAACAGAGAACTGCATTCCCTCCAAATTTTGTACACTCACTTGATGGTTCGCACATGATGATGACTGCGGTCGCTTGCAGGGATGCTGGGCTACGTTTTGCAGGTTTGTCTTGTCCATCTGTTTCAACCACGTTATACACCTTTTTGATGAGAGATCTGACTGGAAGCTCCATGTGCCAACACCAACACACACGCACAAACCTTAGCAAGTGTACTAAACAGTCTCCTACAAGCTCTGAACAAGATTCAGTTATACCAAAAATCCTAATAGAGCTACAAAGCTTCTTAGAACTGTAAAAACTAGTCTCTGCACAGATTAGATATATAGGCATAAACTTCTTGAGTAGGCTTTTATGTGGATCAATTCGGGAATACTTTACCAAAATCCATACTATGTCCATCACCGGATTTCTAATATGATAAGTTGATTAGATTGGTAATGATTTGGCAAATAAAATTTTTCAAATTAAAACAAATGATATATGAAAACAATCTACTTTGAATTTCGTAAGCAGTTAAGTCAACTACAAAATGATAGTCAGTTTGACACAATGAAATGAAGAAAATTTGTGAAAGATTTGATTTTAAATTTGTTGACTTATCAAAAGAAATCTATATTTCTAAGATGAATGCTAATGTTGAAAAATAAACCTATCGACCATGTACATTATGATTTTACATTAAACGTTTTTGCTTGTGACTGGATTGGATTTCGTTGGATTGCTTGATTTTAATTTGATTTCAAACCTTTACACAACCTAGAATTCCATTCTTTGATGTCCTAAATGACTACTGCCTTCAAATCAAATCAAATTCGCTTAATTTAAATTCTCTCATCTGTAAGCGTCTTAGGGCCCATCAAACTGCTATTCCTGCCTATCAATGTTTCCTATATTGGCTCAGTTTCCTTTAGTACTGGGGATATCTTTTCCCTGTTCAGTTGATATCATTTGATTTTAGATGCTCCCAATGAATGAAAACATAAGATTCAAACATTCCTAACTTTGCTAAAGGTTGGATTACAAGTACAAGCTAGTTAAGTTCTTCAATAGTTCATTTTAGAATGAGCTTGCCAGAAGCTCAATGTTGAGGTGGTGTGTTTTTGTTTATAGTGTTTGTTTGATTCACCTTTCTTGGCATTGTCTTTTACAAGAAATCACCAAACTTAAAGAGACAGTAATAATGATAGTTGTATCTTAAATTACATCCAGTGGCAGAATCAGAAATTGCTAAACAGAAAAAGAAAAAAAGGTTTTTTTTTTTTTTTTTTTTGGGGGGGGGGGGGTTGTTTATGAGAAGGAGAAGACTACAATTGACTAGTAACTGGGGCCAAACAGATAGCTTAGTACTTTTTTGGGTGGGGAGGGGCTCTGTTTAGTCAGATACTGAAATTGTATGAAAATCGGGGAATGGAAGTGAACTTTTGGAAACATGGCTCCCTAAAGCCTAAATGTGACTGCCCACTATTTCAGAATAAGTTAAGTTTATATTTACAGTGGAATACTGTGATTTAGAACCTTCTGTCAACATGGTTTTTGAGGAGTATTTATCCCATTTTATTTTGTTGAACACTGTCGGGTAATGAATTTCAAGAATTATTTAGTCATTAAGTTTCCATACGAAAACTACCCAATCATATTGTGATTACTATCTCTTTGTGTTCTTCAAATTTTCCATTTAAGCCTCATTTGTATTTCCCTTACGTAAGGCTTTAGAATGTTGCCACTGTTTTGCATGTTTCATAATTTATGTCATGTCCGAAATCACAATGCTATTACTGACAAAGTGGGAATGTATATTTGCTTAATGGCTGTTCAAGTTCAGGTTATATCACTGCATTCAGGAAGACATTTTTTGTTAGAAGTTCGTCTCTTTTCCTCTTTTATATGATCCTTGTTAAGAAGATTTGAGAGGATTCTCTAATAACACAATATTTTCTTGTGTTAATCTGTTGCAGGAGTGCATGATTCCTTCTGGACACATCCATGCGATGTTGACAGGATGAATCGGATACTAAGGGAAAAATTTGTGGAGCTTTATAGCAGGCCAATACTAGAAAATGTAAGCATCTGCTGATTTATTTTCTCTACATAGGCATGAGATTCCATAAAACTAGTAAATTTATTTGATTGTTTTTGAATGACCACAAAAATTATATCCTCCGCTTTGTTTTTCTTCATTTTTTTTTTGCTAATCTGGGGGAAAAACGAAGTGGTACTGATTTGCACTTCGCAGTTATCTGATGTAACTCTTCATAAAATAGCCATTTTTACTTATCCCAGAAAGCTATTAATTATCTGATAAAAATTCAAGTAAGGCTACTTGTTTCAAGCTTGGTGTAATTGTTTCTCTCTCACTAACAGTTGCTTGAAAGCTTCCAGACATCATTTCCAGCACTGACATTTCCTCCCCTACCAGATAGAGGCGACTTCAATTTGCATGAAGTTATTGGGTCGCCATATTTTTTCAACTGACCCTCTACAAGCTGGCTGCATTGTATATTTGATATAGTTCCACCGTTCCAGGCCCTGAAGGCACCTACATGTTAGCTGACATGCTGTTTGAGACTTGGCAGAAACTCTTTCAAAATTTGGACACTTCCAAGGAGGGGGAATAAAAGCTGATGGCAGACCGCACAAGGCGGCTATAATTAGATTTCTTGCATCCCTAAAATTCTGGAGGGATTATAAGAGAATTTTTTGATATATGTCGAGTGAAATCAGCATATGAGGGCCTTTTGTGGTATGCAAGTCGAGTTGCTATTCCCTTGTCCAATCATACACCGAAAGATTTACCTTCAATACTTGTTGGAATTTCAGAAAGTTGAAAATTCTGATTCGCAAGCAAGGAAATTTCTGGAGATGGATACATGAGTAGTGCTAAATACTTGCTGGGGAGTTGGTAATCATGGGTGAAGATGGACACCACTGATTCTTTATGGTTCTGAAGAGAGTTTCTGTTGGCAGATGAGGTCATTCGGTTTGTATTTTGTGTCTGTTGTATAAAATAGAGAGTGATCTTGATTCTTCCACAGTTAATGGGGCATCCGGTATTTTATCTAATGAGGGGTGCAAATTTAGAAGGAATTGAAGATATACTGTACTGTAATTCATAGATGCACATTGGCACATACAAAGCATTAAGCAATGTTGCTCTTGTAATATGATTCAAAAGAAAATTTTGGTAGCATTATTCATTTTGTTAAGAGGGTATTTAAACATCATCTTGAACATAATCTGTGTTTATTCTCTTTTATTTAGCCCTTTTTCACTGTATAACAATATGCTCAGGTTTTGATTGAACATGAAAGAAAGGTCGGGGTGTGGTAACGGGTTCGATCATCTTAGGTTAGTAACTATGGTTCAAACCGACTATTTTATTGTGGCTGAAAATCTCAAGGTAATGTCTTGGGGGTTATTATGTCGTTCCTGATCACCTTTTTTTTTTGTTCCAAAAAAAAAAGAAAAACTAGAAACCCATGAACTTCACTATAATTAAACAGCATCCATGAAGTAAATCCTGAACAAAATTTCATTAGAAAATTTTAATTGATAACCCAAGTAATTACCTAAAATTGAAAACGTTGTACCCCTTTTCGATCAATCAAATAGCTTTGCTATTAAATCTCAAGAACATAGTGCATGTGATAGCTAGAAAAACTATACAGAAAAGGAAAAGACTCCTAGCTAGTAAACGGGATCAAACTAAGATACCACAAACTGATCTGCACAATGGGCAGGAATTATTACTAGACAACCAATTGAGTAAGCAGTCTCTGTGGAAAACATGCGAGCATGGCGTTTTTCCGACCGCCGTTCCGACCAAGAACTCTTCAAGACAAATCGGACATGGATCAACCGACCGGGCAACATCGAATCCAATGAAAAAGAACTTTGTCGCAGCCTCAACCAATTCCAACCCATAAAAAAGACGCGGCACGGTTGTTTCTGGGTGAAGAAATTCAGGAGATTTCTCCAAAAAAGACAACAATGTTAGAAGAACAGTTATCAAATTTGACTCATCCCCCTGATTTGTACCAGAATCTACATCCATCATGACAGATCCTTTGTCTTCGTCTTCCTCAACGTGATCAGGGTCTTCAACTTCTTTTTCATCTTCATAAGCATAATCTAGTAAGTCTTCTAGTTCTTGCTCCCCCTCAGATTCATGATCAATGGGTGGTGGTGGTTTTTCTTCATCACAAACTCCACGAATAGAACAAGGAACATTAATCACACAAGAAGTACCTTCCTTAGTTTCATCAACAACAGTCCTCATCACAGAAACATCTACGGCAATCACAATCCTAGGTTTCCTCGAAAGAACCGAGGTTTCAATGTCAAACTGAAAATTACCCAAAAGATACTTTGATATATTTTCTGCCAAAAAGTGAGTGGTGTCTAGTACCATAAAACGCTCGGTTTGTGCGAGAGCAATATGAGTCCACCTAAACAACACGTCTTTTGATTGCAGCGTTGGTAGATCGAACAAGTAGACACAGTTTTCGACTTCAACTTTGGTACTAACTTCAACACCGCCATGGTCATCGCTTCGAATTATTTGTTTGATCTCATTCTTCATCCGGAACAAGAACAAACCGCAATGCAAGTATTCGTCACTCAGTAGCGTTTCATTCCCTCTGAAGACCTGTATTTTTCTGATACAGGCGCTTTCACTTAGAACTTCCATCTCTCTCTCTCTCTGTGCGTTTGAGAACAAGAATTCTTTGATCACATACACAAAAGAAACCCTAGGGTTAAGAAGAGACTGTGATTTATATGCAGATGAATATGTATGAGATGATTGGATGTAATGAAATTTCGCAGTAGCTGAGGAATGTTTTTCCTAGTGGGAGTGGGAGTGGGAGTGTGATAATTTATGTGTTGTGTTGTTTATCTGGATGGGTATTAATTATATATATATCTATTATATCTCATCTGCATGTAGTTTAGGAAACTTGATTAACACGTATTGCTTATCGCATTTGATTCAGTTTAGGAAACTTGCCTTAACCTGTATGGGGTGCAATGTTAACCATTCAATGGAGTTTGTAAGGAAGGGATTTGTAACTTGGATCTCATTTAAATATTAAAATTTAGTGTTGATTCAATAATTTTAATAATATTATATCATTAATTCAATAAATTAGATCAAATAGATGTGTGTTGCATTTTAGTGACATACTAGTTCAATTCATTCACCATTCGGTGTACCATTGACATGTCGTGGCGATGTGACCTATCTACATATCTTTTGTTTTTTTTTTTTTTTGGTTCAATAGTTAAGGGTATACGAGTCAATTTATGCGTATTTTAATTAATCTTTTTTTTGATTTAATCAAAAACAGACTATCCACGCTCGAATTAGAATATTCATAAAGAATTTATTTATCATAGTCTAGCCTCAAAGAATTACTAAGATTCAAATTCAAAATATTTAAATTTACTACTCGTTTATTAAATAAAATAAATATTCAATGTAATATTGAAATCACGTCATCACTGTTATGTAGTGTCATAATCCAACTAAAAAATTATAAGTAGATAAAGTGAATCTCACTATTTTTATAACTATCAATAACCATCATATTTAATCATCAATACATAAAATTAATAGGTTCACCTTATCTACTTGTTATATTCTAATTGGGATGGTGACACCACGGTAATTGTTTGGTGTAACACTTGAATTGAATATTTTCCCATTAACCACAATGGACCAAAAATTGGTGTACACGTGCACAAATAAAAAATGATGAAAAAAAAAAAAAAACTAATTTTAAATCTCTATCAAAATACTTTTATTATATTCATAGTTGAAAATGCTCTTTATAGTTGCACGTGTGAATCAATGGAAAAATATACTCAATATCTCACTAATGTCATATCATTAGTAACACGTAATATCACTAACTAATTAAAATCAATCAAATAAATCTACTTTAGCACGTCATATATAAATAATCTAACGTGGTAGTTATTAGTGGTTATTATAAAAATAGGTATTCACTAATAACTTGCTATATTTACTTGGTCAAATAATAAATATTGTACATTTTTACGGCTATTTTTTTGTTAGACGAAAAATTGAAGGTACAAGATTTTTGCATAGAGGTAAGGCTACGGTATCAATTTTGATTTTATGCTTCCATCGATCTCAACCATTGATTTTGAGTTTGATGGCCTGCAACTCTTCATTGAAAAAATAATAAAGTAATAAAAAATTATAAGATAAAAATATTACGCACGTGACAACACGTACCTAATCGCTCATAAGTCATAAAACTCATAACCATTAAATTGATAGTGTACCCTAATATTTGTTGGGACTTGTTATCAATCTAATGGTTGTGATAAATTAGGTTCGCAAATTATGTCACTGACCTAAGTCTAAATAGTATTATTGAGTCGTAGTATACGGCTCATGTTTGATTTATTTGTGTTATCTGTGCTTTTAGAGATGAGTCAATGAATATTTGAATACCAAGAATGTTTCTAGCATGAATGGTATGAAACTGAAAGATCTGAAAAAGTTTTGCTGAATTGATGTAGAAAAACCTCATCTTTGCTTGATTTTTGCAAGGATTCCTTCTGTTTGGGCTAATTGCCTTCCGTGATGTTAGGCATTTCTGCATATTAGAAGCGAAGAACACACCCAACATCACAATGTAAACGAATACCTGTGAGACATAAACATTTTCATACTATATGTGCTGTTCGTGCTGCGTAAAAATAGTGTATAAGCTGTATTTAACGGATTCGTGCGTGTTTAATTAGATTCGAACCAAAACCCGCTGATTTTGTATTGATCTTGTATTGGATTTGTGGGTCATATCTATAATTGTCAAGCCCATCTAGCAAGAATGATATGAAACCCAAAAATATGAACAAGTTTTGCTGACATTAAATAACAAATCCTCATATTTGCTTGATTGTCGCATGGATACCTTCAGTTTGGGCTAATTTCTTTCCCATTATGTAAGACATTCTGCATATAAGAAGTAAAACATATAACAACTATCACTATGTAACCAAAGAGCTGTGAGACAAATCTTCTCCACATACAATATAAGCACATACCGAATACTCCAATGGGGAGAAGGATTTTTCTTTTCTGCCTGGTGGTGTGTGTGCTTTTGCTGAATGTTTCAACTGCAACAAATATCAGCAATGGAACTATGAGCAATGGCAATAGTAGTAACCCATGCAGTAGTGGACAACAGTGTTTACCAACTCCATCTAATGAGTACCAGAGAGGATGTGAGCGATACAACCGCTGCAGGGGCGGGCCACCAGTTGCTATTTGATTGCTAGATGAAGAGGTAGAAATGCAATGACAACTAACAAGCATGTTTTCTTTTTCATTGTATTTTTAATAAAATAGTATGATGCAACATATTGAATTAGTGAGTGAGAGAGACAGAGAGAGACTCATTGAGGTCGATATTCATATTTAACAGTGCAACTGAATCAAGATGAGATGTGTCTCCTGCACTATTATGGCATTCTTACCCAGAAAAAACATCAGATTGTTCCGACGTCTGAGAGCACAGTCCTTCAAGACCACAAGATGACGAGAGCTTTTGTCGATTGCATCAACTTCTTCGAGAGATTGAGGTCAGCCACTTGCTTCTCGGTTGAGTTCCAACTTCTAGTGAAACACAAATATGGCATCAAAGATAGCTATATCTTCCTCTTCGTATCTCCCTTGATCTCGGCAAGGATCCATCGAGCATTTTTCATGCCTAGTTGTATTTCTTTTTTTTCCTTGGCACCATATACCCACACCCAAATTGCAGGATTCTCTTTAAGAGCGTCCAGAATCTTCATACCTGCTTGCAGCAACAATTTTTAGCATGATATTTCAGATCTAAAAAGTGAAAAGACCACAGCAAAGGCAAATGTGTCATATTTAAGTAATGAAGACACAAAACATCTATTGAAGTTAGAAATATATACCATGAACATGGGATATACTTCTATCTTCAATTATAAGCATGATTTCAGCCTACAAGGAGAAGGATAAAACATTAACCAGGATATCTTCATAACAAAAGGCATCCACAATGACGTCGATTAAGGGGAAAGAACTACTGCCAGCAGTCTCTCTGCACAAGTGCAACTATAAGATATGTAAAAGAGAAACTTTAATGTATATTGTTAGTTCAGAAACACAAGTTTCCAATCACCAAAACCTTTCCAATTTACTTGGATAGCCAAACAAATTTAAGCATGGCAGATGTGGGAAAAATCCTTCACAATTATGCTAGTGGGAAACATGGATGTACCCACCCTGTAGATAGAATGAACACAAGTAGACAAGACCAGTTTGCATAATTAGATTGACAAAACATATCTCCACAGAAATCCAAACAGAATCAAGAGAAAAGAGTACTTTCCCAGATGGCCAAATCACTCCAAAAAAAAAATAATCAAAAACTCATGCTTCAATCTATGGATCCGCAGTTCCACCCCTTGCCACTACTCCTTATCCAAATGCGCCAAAGCATACATACAGCTCTCCTCTGTGATGCCTGCTTGCTCCGAAAAATTAAAACCCATGCCATATTGTGAGATGGATTTGAACATTTCACATTTCACACTAAAGATACAAAGAGGCATCCTAGCTCGCAAGCCAACATACCATGTGCAACGCTAGTGATTCATTTTCTCCTCTGCCCTTTGCACACACAACTCTGATATGAAAGCACTTCACCCTTGATCACCGAAGTATCAATAGTTAAGACCCCACAAAGGTACTTTCAGCACGATGAAGGTTACCTTAAAAAGGGACACTTCACAAACATCATTCCATGGAAGTCAGTATCAACTCTGCAAATCAGAAGCTATAAAACACTTTACATTAGATTAGTCCTCCTAGCAGCCCAACATTTCAAAACATGCTTCCAACCTGAGTGCCACAGACCAATTAATTAACCAACCCTCGGATTGCAATTTCTAATCCCTATTAAGACAAGGATGCCCACACCAAAACATCATTCCAGAGTCGGGGGCGGCTCAAGCCAATTTAAAGTCTAAAGCGGAAATATTAAATGAAAGTTTTTTTATTTTTAATATTATTTTTAAAAAAAATTAATTTATTTTTAATTTTCTATGTGAGAGAGGGGCAAAAAAAAATGATGTGTTAATATTGTCGAGAAAGAGATTTCAACTTTTGTTTTTATTTTTTACCACAGAGAGGGAGAGAGAGTGTTTAATTTCAATTTCAATTTTTGATTTTGTTTTTTATTTTTTTTGACCGGAGAGAGAGAGAAAGAGAAAGAAAGAGAGAGAAAGTGGGTGAGAGTAAATATGAGTTGATTTTTGAGTATTTTTTAATTTCTAAGTTTTTAATGTTATCGATTGAATTATAGACCCAAATTATTGCAATAAAATTTTTTTGGGGCTTTTTTGTAGAACTTAAAATTTAATGGATTTAATTTTTTTTGTGGGCTAGTGATGTACCTAAAATTATGCAGTCTTCTAAAAATTTAGAGCCTAAAGCCCATGCTTTTTTTTCAATACTGTTGGGCCGGCCCTGTCCAGAGTCAACACAAAATAAGCCCTCAAGACTGCCTAGCCTTCCAGTCACCCCCCCAATCCCCCCAATACTTCGCTAACTTCCACTTCCTTTGCAGATAGTTTTCTTCTCCAATCCAAATATCATTCATCATTTCCCCCCAAAAGATGCACAGGCCCCCTGTTCTGCACTTTGTAGTTTAGTTAACAAAGTAAACTTTTTGGCAAAACATTCCAAAACATTGATTGAGACATACCGAAACACATCAAAACAAAATGAAACACCTTGAAATGTAAGAATTGGATACTCACTGATGAAAAGTTTCCATTGTTTCAACCATTGCAAAATGAAATTTAGTTGTTTGATTCTAATACATCTCACTTTTTATTATCTCTCTAGATTTTTTGTTTTATGATATTTTCTACGTACTAGAAGATGAACTGTAGGCCGCTCTTTTCTGCACATGTAGCACAGCACATTTTAACATACACATAATAAGAGGTTATATATTCCATAAAATTGACTACACCAGCACTCTTCATTATATACTCAAAAATGGAAAGCAAACAGAACCACAGCCAAACACTTGGCTATGTTTACTGGTCATACATAGAACGAAAAAATAGAACATAAAAGCTGGTACTAATACAATACAAGGCACAAGCCATCATCCTGATATAATAAGAGAAGAAAACTAACTATAAGCCCATGTGATTATCCTCAGTTACAAAGCAAGCATCAACAACTTTCCTTACCTACCTGAAGGAAAATGAAGAGAATCTGATCAACTGCTGCAGCAAATATTATTGTAGAACATCAATGCACAAGGAATTATTGTGGATTAGATGAGACAAAACTGGTGGTCAGGTTGTTCACAACTGACAAGTTCTTTGTGTCTGATAGAACCTGGTACAATACAAGCTGCCATTTTCATTATCATAGCCGATATATTTAAGCATTCAACCAAAATGTTGTATATAGCAAAAGCGTGCAAAGCCATTGCCTGCAAACAAAAAAAATGTAGAACTATGAGTGGAAACTTCAAAACAGGAAAGATTAATGAAATCGGAAATTCAATGGAGATTTCAAGGAATAGACTTCTGTGCACAATTTTTAAGGATATTCAACAAAAGATCCTAATCTTTTTCAAGAGCTACAGACAGGCAGTCACACATGCATATAGGAACATAAGAAGATGCCAGCTAGCTGAGTTAGAAGAGACTCTAAGGATTCATAGAAGTTGCACAGATAAATCATGGTCCATCAGGGCTGAGTTTATGGGTAGGGAGAGGATTAAACCACTTATTTTCCTTTTTGGCAGAAGAGGACACATCCAATTGTGGAAACATCCACAAGTCCAACAAAACATAAAAAAAGGATGAATGACCGATTTAAAGGGTGAAAACAGAATCAACCAAAGCAGGCATGCGGTTTCAAATTGTTCTCTTATGCATCTCAGATTGCTGTCATCGTGTATTTAGAATCAAAAGTTGAAAATGCATTACAGATCCTTTCAGACTTTCTAATTAGATTTAACCACAGCAGGCAGAAAGATTGTCCATATAAAGTTGCAGACAAAAAAATCAGCTAAATCAGATTCATTAAGAAATGAAAAATAAAAAAATCCTAGCACTAACATCAAGATTGCAGAAATAAGAGCAGGATGTGGAGATGAAAAGAAGCAAGGCGCTGCAAAAATCATATGCATTAGCTTCATAGCTCCATCTGCTTCATCCACAAGGACCACTTAACAGCCTCTAAGAACTTATCATTCTTTCGCAGTGCTGTGACCAAGTTAATATAGCTGATTCGATCAGGTTCTATGCCATTTTTTCTCATTTCTTTAATCAAAGCAACGGCATCTTCAATCATTCCAGCAATGCCATATGCCTTTATCAATGTGTTATAGCTGTACAAATCAGGTCCCACTCCAGATTCTTTCAATTCCGTTAGAACATTGGCAACTTCTTCAATCCATCCCTGTTCTCCATATATATTGATCATAATGTTGTAGGTATAATGGTCAGAAGCACAACTTGATTCTCTCATTCTCTGCAAAACACTTTTAAATTTCTCCATCTGACCTTCTTTCCCATAGGCATCCAACATACAGTTGTAGGCTTCAAGAGAAATCAAAAAGCCATTAAATTGCATTTTCCTAACAGTTGATGACATATTCTTGAGGTCTTTACTTTGCCCATATGCAGCTACGATAGTATTGTAAGAAATGACGTCAACCAGGCCTCGTTTTCTAGCTATCCAAAACACCCTCCTAGCCTTCTTGAAAAGCCCGGATTTTCCATAAACATCAAGCATAACATTAAAAGTAATAGTATTAGGTGCAAACCCAAGCCGAAGCATTTCATCAAAAATCCTGGAAAGCTCATCAACTGGCAATGCACGAGCACAGCAGTTTATGACACAGTTGTACATTTCCTGATCCCAGGTAATTCCACTCTTCAAGATTTTGTAGTACAGAACTGACAATTTATCAACCATGCTGCAGCGTTGATACACACGGAGCATATCCCGGAGCAAATAAATGTCTGGAATAATGTTCTTTTGTTTGTCCATTGTGTCTAGAACTGAGCAGGCATCTTTCAAAGACCCAGCTTTGATATACATCCGTACTACAACACTAAAAGCTATAATATCCAGGGAAATCCCTGAAGACTTTAAATTCAGATATATATTTTCTGCTTCAGTGAACAGATTCATGACACTGTATATGTCGACCATCGTACAACTGATGTGCAGATTCGGCTTGTCAGATTTTGGCATATGGGCATATATCTTTACTGCATTCTCAGGATTACCCAAATCCTTGCATGAACAAATCAACAAATGGTATAAGTTATCCTCAAAGATTTGGTCCTCCCACTGTTTCTCCTGAAGAACTTTTAATGCATCATCCACCAAAAAGTGTTTAACATAAGCTATTGCCAGAATTGAGCAAGATGTCTGATTACTGAGAACGTGTTCATATAAAGAACCTTTCAAAACAAAAGGCACTTGACCAAACCTTCCAGCCCTCTCATATGCTTGCAAAAGAATACCGAGGACAGAGGAATGTTGGCAATCCATTTCTATAATGTCATTAAGAGTTCTGATGGCACCCTCTTCATCCTCATGCTTGGCTTGCAAATTTATCATAGTGTACAAGTTTGACGAGTTAGGCCTGAATCCCCGACGTTTGAGTTCATTATAGCACCAGTATGCCTTGTTATAATTGTCCACTCGACCCCAACCTTCAATCATAGACCTATAAGTGGTTTCATCAGGCTCTAATCCAACTTGTTCAAGGTTCTGGAATAGGCATTGTGCAGCATCCATGTTGAATAATCTCCCATACCCAGTGATCATTGTGTTGAATGCAACTATATTGGGGGAAAACCCAGCTTCATGCATTGAGACCAAAACCTGCTCAGCCTCATGTAACTTGCCTTGCTGACTGTAAGCATTAAGCAAAACAAGCCAGTTCTCCATGTTCAAAATTACATCGTCTTCCCTCAAGAAACCAATAATCTGTTCTGCTTTATCATACAAGCCAAGACGCGTATATATGGTAATCATTGCCGAGTATGCAGATTGGCATGTAACTTTAAGATTCCTCATTATGGAAAACGTGAACTCTGCCTCTTCAACAATCCCTCCTTTTTGATAAAGAATCATGAGCATTCCAAAGGTAGCAACGTTAGGCTGAATGCCATTTTCCAACATCATACGAAACCACTTTGTACCCAACTTCCAAAGTCCCCGCTTATGACAAGCATAAATAAGCGTATTAAAAACCCGAAAATTAAGTTCACAACCCGACTCAATCTTCATCTCGCAAATCATCATTTGTGCCATATGCCAATCCTCTCTTCTACCCAAGACTCTGAGAATCAAGTTATAAGCAGTTGCATTTTGCTTCAACTTTCCATTTCTTCTCATCCATTCAAAAAATGTTAAAGCTTTGCTATCACTACCCCTCTCAAGCTGTTTCAAGATAACATTGCAACGATCCAAGCTCAAGTGAGGCTCAATAGCACTAAGATCAAACTCCACTACATTTTCACAATCCAATACAGAACCCACAAAATCTCCCCCAGTCCCCAAATTGGGTTCTTCTTCTTTTTCAAGTTTATAATCACTCCTTTTTGCCCCTTTGTTTACTTTCATTAAACCCTGAAACCTCTTCCAAATATTTCTCTTACCCTTTTGAAATCCTCCATGAAAACTCGGGTTTCGAGGAACCAAACTCTCGCAAACAGAATCTTTACTCACATCGTTAAGCAAATTATCAACATGATTCGATTCAGAGACATCTGATAATTGGGTATGTACCCGAGAAACCCTAATGCGCTTGAATTTACAAAAAGGGTTGATTACACAGGAACCAACTATTTGTACATGACCAGCAAACCAGGAAATAGAACACTGATTCGACAATTGTGAAGAATCAACACAGAAACTAAGCTTCGTGGGTTCATATGCGTCCAAAGAAATGGATAACTTCAAAGAGGCCATGGATTACCAAGGCCCTCCCCTCCTAAGAAACTTTTTTCTCGTCAGTTCATTGTGTAATTCGATGAACTGAAATACAAATTCAGCAAAAATGAGTGGAATTTAAAGCAAAATGGAGTTGGGTCTCAATATGATGCAATTTGCAGTACCAGAGAGACAGAGAGAAGATCAGTTGGGCATACCTTGTTCGTTAAAGCAGTGGAGGAAAAGTAACCGTAATTTGGATATTTGATATTTCTTCGTTTTGTACGTGAGCGTTGCTTTGCTAGTAGCCAGACCGCTAGAAAACCAAACCATATCATCACAGTCCTTGTCCAATAACATTCAAATTTCAAACATAATTACTTTTATTATCTACTAACTTTCTATAATCTAACTTCTTACATCATATGGTGAACAAAAAAGAAGAAGAAATGGGTGAAAATAATTAAAAAATAATAAAATATATATTCTGTTTATTGCATGGGACTAGACTGCTAGTAATTAATTAAACAAAAAATAATAATAATTAAAAATACACGAACTACCCTGTTTCCACTCCTACTCTTATCATTTTGGCAGAATATAAGTAAATTTTTTAAAAATATTAAATAAGTGGTAATTAATTATTGGAGAAAAATATTAATTATATGTGGCATGCAGTAAAATGTGATTGAATGAAATAATCATTTTAAAATATAAGAAAATAGGAAAAAATACTTATCAAACCCTCTATACTAATTTAATTTTTCTAGTATACATAGATTGATTGCACAATATTGTTGAAATCTAACATTTGGATACATTTTCAATGGAAGTTATGAAAATTGAGACTCAGAGTAATCTACTGGGGATGTTTATATCCCCAAAACCCTTTTCTTTTACTTTTTTTTTTCCCTTTAAATTTAAATATCTTATAATGTAGTTTTCCTCGTCACCTCTCTATTAGATTACTAACTATGCATTTTTCAGTAGACCCATTTGAACAAAGTGAATCTCTAGATATTGATATTCTAGAATCGATTCGAACTTTTATTGTCATTGCTTGATCCAGTTGTGTTATAACTTCACCTAAATCAGCACTGCCAACCATCAGCAGCAAATACAACAAATGGGGGGTGGTGGGTGTGTTTTTTTTTTTTGGTTTTGAGGGAGGGGGGGGGGGCGCTTGCAGCTGCACAGCATAATACTTCATCTATTTATCAAACAAACTTATTCAGAATAGGTAGATTGTAAATTGATGGATATGCCAACATACACAACAGAATCGGTATTCCTTCACCGGACATCAATAATACCAGTAAACTAGGAGCTGCAACACCAAATACTTTGATTCTTGCATGGAATATTTGTCAGGATTCGTCATCAAAACATATTTCAGAATCCCAACAATTCCTTAATACAAAAATCATTTTAACCACCAACCAAAGCTTCCATTCAGATACACATAGGAATGAGAGAGAAGACCGCACTACCTAGCTTAATTCTCAGGACCACCTTAAATATTCTGCATAAATAATTTATGAACTAGTTTGAGATTCGGCATCTTCAGAGATGTCAAACAAGAACTTTGGGAGAGAAGTGATCCGGGGGAGCTGAAGGAGCAGGTCAGCAAATGAATCTTTTCTCGCCATGGGTGCCTGCTTGCAGCCAGGAACTTCCTTGAAATACACTTCAGAAGCCACAGTATCACTTCTCGCCTTGTTGTCACAAAGCGAGTCACAAGCACGGTTATGTTCAACATATTTTCCATCTTGAATCCCTTCAAAGTGACTTTGTCCATCAACATGCACAATTGAAGCTGTGGCGGGGTCTTGAAGGAGGCTGCAGAGAGAATTCACTCTTTTCATAAGGCTCTTCTCATCCGAAGCTGCAATAAATTGATTGTCACTGAACAAAATTTGTGCAATGTTCTCCAGCATGTCCTGGCGTTCTGATGTTTTCTCAGATGGCAAATTTCCAGATGTCATTTGCTCTGAAATACGATGTCCAATGTGATTCACAAAATCACTCACGGACATAGAGGGATGGAGCCCTGGCACTTTCAACTGCTCCCAGTTCTTTAGCCCTTGGCAATCATATCCTTGAAAGTTTCCATTCCCTTCAATGGCTCGTGTATCCATCACTAACAAATGTAAAACATCGTTAGTGACCAATTGAGCCAATACATAAGAAGACATGTGTAGCTCTAATAAAACACTAATCATCATTCCTACTGTAGAAGATATCTGTACTCAAACCCCCCGAGTGCAGATACTTCAACAATCCAAATGACTGAAACAAGAAAACAACATCATTACCAAGGATGCTACCACAAGGGGCCAACAAAAACCCTATTTCTACAGATTCCTGCTCTAATTTTGTGAGCTATCTTAATGTCTGCTCCAGATAGATTTGTGACTGAGATTGCAGCTAGGAATGTCGAGATGGACAAAACTGAAGCATTGGAGAAATTCCCCCTCCAACCCAATGTACACTTTGCCCAGAAAAAATACTTCTTCAATAATTAGTCATTATCATTTGATTTACCTCCCCACCTACCATTAATGACAGTGGTTTAAAAACCCACCAAATCCTGCAATTGGGTGGAAATTCAAGTGGATAACTAACAAAGTAGCATAGATGGCCATACAACCCCAGCTAGTTGTCACGAACAAGAACTAAACCAAATCAGAAGCACAAATCTGACGTGTAGAAACTGCCAGTAGTGCAACTACCCAAACTTTTAGAAGTGGACATTTTAGTGGATGGAACAAAACCAAGAAAGGTACATATATGAAGAACTCAAGTTCTAAACAAAACTCATAGAAACATATCCAGCATACAATTTGGACTGTGCACCGAAATTCATCACCACTCTACTAGGTCCCACCAGGAAGCAATTGATCAACATCAACAAGAAAACTTGTAATTCTAGGTGAATTCATACTACCATCTCAATACATACGAAAGCACGTGACTTGTTCACAAAGCTGTAACACAAATTTCACCTGCACGCCATACAAACCACAATTAAGAGAGACGATATGCTAGTATGTGCGTGTATATTCTTGCTATTGGCTGGGTGAAGTAGGGTTGAATTGAGAACATTGACATCCTCATGATAATCGTTGGTGACAGAATCAGAGATCAAACACTAAACAGGTGGAACTTAACTTCAAAGAATTTAAAATATGAAATTCATCAATTACTGGAGCACATTGTATTTGTGTATGAAGTTAATCCCTTGAAGAAAAAATTTATTGAGAGGCTGAAAGGAAATCACCTACACCCAATGCACCTGAAACAAATATTTCCTAATGTAAAACATCAATCCATTTGCAAACAAAAAATTTTGGAAAATAAATGCATGATAATTTTGGCTCTATAAAGACTCCATGCATCACCACATGGAAGAAAAGTTCTGAATGCATCATTGTACCTGAGCTTGGGGAAGGGGCTTCTTTGGACAAATGGTCGGGGGCCAAAACAAGACGATCACGGTGTCCAATCCCCAAGAAAGACGACTGTGCGGCAGCTGGTAATGCTACATCCTGGTAGCCAGAAATGGGGGATCCTTCAGCAGTCTCCAGTTGATTAATACCATGGCCCTTCAAATCATCTGGATCCTTGGAAACAGAAGCTCGTGGTTCAAAATATGGTGAATCCAAAACTATCTCCGGCTGTCGACTCAGAAAGTTAAGACGCACATCACACTGGATCAGCTTTTCATAATGTTTGTTTAACAGGCCTTGTGAGCACTGCAGAAAATGTTGCCTACAGAATCCACAACAAAAAGATTTCAATTGCTGCCATGGCCTAACAGGTCATAAAACACAACCCACCCCATCCAACAAAAAATAAAAAATAAAAAGACGAAAGGAAAGCACCCAAAAGAGGGGGTTAGAGGAAACTTAAAGAAGAAAAGGCAAAACAACAAAATTTGAGTGATCCATGCACACCAATGAAAGACACTCAGGTAACTAGCAGGTACTGTAAATATAAGATATAATGAGAATTCAATACCATACAGAAAAAGGCATAAGTAAGAATTCAGCCTATTTCCCACAGAAAGTAAAGTCAAGCCCAAAGACAACAAGGTTTTGCCATTCAAGTTTTTACTGCTAATCCGTAACATAATATCTCCCAGCTACAAAGAAGCAGGTAAGAACACTTGCAATGATCATGTCGCAGAATTATATTTCAGAAGGAACATACAAGTAAAGAATAATAAGTAAGAAGTGGCTGTTCAAAATTATACAGCCTTTGCAAGACATTCTTCAAGCCCTAGTACATATGGAAGGATGAGAAGAGTGAGAAGAGAACAGATTATGACAAGCTATTAAATTTTACCTATTTATGCTAGCCTGTCCATCAGTAAAATCGGTAGTTGCCTGCCATAAAGTGTGCTTTCTAGGCTGTGGATTGGTCTCCCTGAAGAAAAGAGGCTGTCTTGCCAGCTGAACCACACAAGATCACCAGTATATGTCAGCAAAGTTTATTTGGGAAAAAAAAATAACAATTAGTGCACATGCCTACAAACACATGCAAAAGGACAAGATATATGAGACGCAAATCAACATTCTAAGACTCTAAACATTACCACCAGAGTCAATGTCCCAGGTCCATTATCAGGACACTGCGCCTTCACAGCCATGATATCTGACCATTGAATTTCTATTTTACTCTTGAGACCACCATCAAGAACTTCCCAAACAAGTTTATGCTTAGCAAAGTAACACTTCGCAACTAAATCACCTTCATATCTTGACACATACTGCCAGAAAAATAAGATTTCAGCCACTTGCAAAAGTTTCACAGATCTGAGATACGGTAGACAAAAGACAATAGCATATACCTCCCAGCTCCCAATCCTTAAATGTGAAGCAGGAAAATTCGATGCTTTCAACTTGTCAGCAACGCCTGAAGCAGCAGTGACACTAACATCCTTCTTATTTTCCAAGGAGAGATTTCCACTAGGCTCAGCAGCAACAGAAGCAGCATCGCCGTGGGAGAGTCTCATTTGAATCAAATCCATCAATGATGGACTCTTCCTTAGCCGCAAACCCAGAGGGCTAGGCTCATCAAGTGGATTGTACTGTGAAGGTGGAATGGGAAAGTCATTGCTTCCAGTGCTCCACTGCTCATCAGCACAGAAGACCATGTAATGAATAACCAAGTAAACAACTTACTACGACTTAAATTTTTTAAAATAAACTCAATGAAAACTAAAATCTGAAGCCAAATCTTTAGGAGCTTCCATTGATATCCCACCAGTCCCATTATAAGTCTGTAGAAGTTATCCAGATTGAACTCATAATTTAATTATGTCGTCACTCCCACTACCCAACCAATCTCATATTTTGTGCTATAATGGCCCCTCTCTCTGTCAAGTGTCTCATAAGGAAAGTCCATAATAGACAACTAAGTCATATTTTTGGATAATTTGATCCAACAAAGTTTAAGGCTTCATCAATAGTAGTTTTATTCCAATTTTTCACATCCTCATAAAAGTATCAATTACATATTCACCCATAATTTCAAAATGAATTTATGTTTATTTTAAAATCACGGGTTTTTTAATCTTATAGTTTAGTCTTTTCATTTGTTTTGATACCCCTAGCTCGGTTGATATGGTACTTGCTAGGACCTTATGTTTGGATATATACATTATACAACAAACCCAAAGTTAAGTTAATTTTGTTTGATAAGACAGATAAATTATTAGAGTTCCACAATTATGCTTTAGCTCTATACTCGATCTTAAAGATGGATATAGCTTGTAGCCAACAATCAACTTTCTGATTGAATAGAAAAATATTTCATTTAATGACAGTAATAGCTTGTGACTTCTATGGGTCTTAACTGAACAAAAACATCCAAAACAGGGTATGAAGTAGCAAGGAAAAGTTCAAAAGTTAGAAGTTAGAACAAATTACTCCCGACTTTATCAATTTTCAGTTCAAAAGTTAGAAGTTAGAACCTCTATATTTTGAGCTTTTGTGTTTCTGTTCCTCCATATAGTTGCTTGAGATCATAGACCTAAGATCATAGACAGCTGTTGAGGTAGGGATATTGGCCAAAGTGTCAAGATACAAAAAAAAAAATGAATTTCAAAAAAGATTGACAATGATATTAGGGACAAATGTATAATGGATGTACCCATGAGAAGGAGCAATATAGGAATGAAACTATTAGTGATGGAGTTTTGAACTTTTTTTGAACAAATTATCAAAAGTAGGACTTAGTTGTCCCAAGACAAGTTTGATATAACTCGATGATTATTTGAAGGAAAAAGTAGGACTTATGAGTAATTTTCCATTTAAAATACAACAAATCAAGCAAGCCTACCAATCAATTCCAATAAAAAATCACCATGATAACTGTGAAAAATTTCATACAATCAAAAAACCTAATTCACTGTAAACCGTAATGCAGCTAAAACTCAATACACCAAAAGAAGTTTAATTGAGTTTTACCTCAGGTTTCATAACAAACCCTTTGAACACATGGGACCCCTCAGGTTTCATAACAAACCCACGCTCCCATGCCAGTACAAAAAGACTATAAAACTCTCACTTGAAAGATTGATTAGAATGAGTTTAATGCTCTACCCATTAACATTTAGCTGGGCTTTAATAATCTAGTTGCAGGCTGCCATGTGATGCCCTTGTAAAACACAACTAAAAAATGAAAAAGAAAGAGAAATGAAAACTCATTCTTCCAAAATTAATAAAAAACTGAAACTGAAGCAACAACCCTCACAATCCCTCACCCCACAAAACACCCTCCCAATGAAACACAACAACCCACACCCTCCCCCCGAAACATCACTACTCGCCTCCCCACCCCCCCATCCCTATAGAACACCATCCCTTCCTGCCCCCCCTCCAATCCACCCACCAAATGCCATCACTCCATTACGCCTCCTGCCACCTCCCCAAACCCAGCAACCCAGCCCCAAAACCAAGCAAAACCAACCCCAAACACTCTGACGGTCATAGATGCAGTTAGCACCACCACGGCACCCCACCACACCACATACTGCCATTTCACATAAAACACAAGAACCTACATTGGGGGGTGAGAGGGCAGAAGGATGGGGCTACTACCGTCCAGTTCTTGTTTAATGCAAAATCAACAAGAAATTAAATATTAAAATCAAAATCACCAAACCCATAAACCACCACCACCCAACCTTGCAAAAACCCACCACCATCATCACTTTGATGAAATCCAAATCCAAACTCTATCTCCATAATTAATGTGGTTATCACTAACTCAATCCCCCCATTCCAGACATAAAGTGGAGTTGTACTTTTTCGTGCATGCATCAATGTATGTTCATAAATGTGATTGGCAACAAGTTTCAGCTGTCCATATCATGAATATGGCTTGTTTGGTAACAAGCATAGGTTGTTCACGAACAGTATTAGTGTTTGAAAAATATCGATTGATTATATCCTCAACTCTTAACATACCCTAAAGGAACACTAACGATTGGGAGAATCTATTATGGACAACCACAGTAAAGGGAGTAAACAGTTATTATACATACATTGGAAGCCAACATTGATAAACAAGCTTCGGGAGAGGTAACGATAGTTAAGCCTTAAAAATAACTTTTCCACCTACCTAGAATTCTAAAATAACTCATTCAAGGACCAAAGAACTACCCCTTAAAACCCAAACCCTCCCCTTTTCATCTAACAAAACAATTCAAAACTTGGAAATAAAATTGAGGGACACTTAGTTCATATTTCAAACAAAATTTTCCCCATTTTCCATTCCTGAGACCTCAATTCCAAGCTGACTCAACATAGCATGTGCACGACTCTTTGTTTTCTCGTGATCCACCCAATCAGAACCTTAAAGATATACTATTCCTACCAAATCCTCGATTCTAATGTCAACAGAACCTAACAACAAAAACTGAGCTCCCCTTTATCTTTTTACCTTTCTGCAGCAACAAATAAAGAATTAAATTCAGAAAATAAAAATCAAAGCCCCAACTTTTTCAGCTCAAAAACAGACCCTGCAACTTACAAAATTTTATTTTCCTTTTCTTTCCTGAATTTTCTCATTGACTACCTGAAAATTAATTATAAAAAAAAAGATTCAAATTAAATAAACCTGATCAAAAGGTGACATTGATGAAGATTTCGACCGTTTATTCAGAGATCCGTGTTCTTCTTCTAAGGAGTCAACGATCTCTAGCTTCAACGGCAAATTGTTGCTGTTCCCAAACGGAGCCATATCCGATCTCATTAACTGAACCATCAAATCACGAGCTCTGACGAGAACGAGATTGGGATATCCGCTGATTCTAAGAAATAATTCAATGTCTCAGATTAGAACTCAAGCTGTACGGAGAATTTCGATTGGAGAATCGGAGACTTTTTTGGAAACCCTAGAAAAAAAGAAAGAAGCTATAGTATAAAAGACAAACAAGGTGGGTGGAGAATATAAATATGGAGATTACTAGACCCAAATTAAGCATGTGGCATAGTAAACCGACAACCTTGAGAGCGTACTATTTTTTTATTTTTTTGGGAGAATTACACCTTTATCCCTTAAAACAGAATCTCTTACATTTAAAATATTACACACAGATTTTTTAAAATTTATATGTACAACACTTAAACCTCTATTATAAATTAGACCCCTTAATTTTAAAATATTATACTTAGACAAAAAAATATTCGATTAAAGATAAAAGATTAAATATTTTAAATTTTATAATTAAAATTCATATTTTATTGTATCTTTTATTTAAATAAAATCAAAAATAAAAATTCAATTTTTTCTTAAAAAATCTTAATTAGTATATAATTATAATATCTATTATAATTTAATTTGATCGTTTAAACGACTAAATTAAAATATCAAACTGTCTTAATTAAAGTTAAAAGATATTATGTATATTACAGTTTGACCTCTTATTTAATTTTTTAGTTTTATTTTAATAGATAGTATAATTATATATTAACTATGATTTTTTTTAAAACTAGATTTTTATTTTTGATTTTATTTCAATAAATAACATAATAGAACATGAATTTTAGATGTAAAATTTTTACTCTATTAAGAATGATTTAGACTTCTTATTTGATTTTTTAGTTTTATTCCAATAAAATAAATAGTATATTTGTGTATTAATTACAATTTTTTAAGAAAAAATTAAATTTTTAATTTTAATTTTATTTCAATAAATGATACAATAGAATATAAATTTTAGTTGTAAAATTCAAAATATTTGATATTCTATCTGTGATTAGAGTATTTTTGGTTTAAGTATAATATTTTAAACTTAAGAGGTCTAAGTATTATATACCTACAAACTTTAAAGGTTTAAGTGTAATTTATTAAAAGATATATTTACATCAAGTCTAAGTATTACGTGTGTACAAACCTTAGGGGGTCTGTGTGTAATATTTCAAATGTCAGGGTCTGAGTGATTAAATGATAAATTTTAGAAAATCTAATTATAATTCTCCCTTTTTTTTAGCAACCATATAACACTATAAATTTAAACATCATGAATTTAAATTTTAGAATTTTTTTAAGGTCATATCATAATGAATTTATTTCTCATGAATACCCTAATTCCAGCATGAATAACGTATCTTTAACCAAATCAAAGAAAAAATTAATCTAAATACTCGTAAATTGGTTCGGACACTTCTGTTAAACGAAAAAAAAAAAAAAACAAAGAGGGGAAGGGTGGGGGGAAGAAAATTGAACCCGTCACATTGATTGCCACACGAGATCTTTAACCAACTTGAATGGATGATAGGTCTTTTAAGATCAACGTATTGAAGACAAATTTATTCGTAGGTCTTTTAAGATTGACGTATTGAAGACATATTTATAGTTGAATCTTCAATATACTAATTAAGTGTAATCATATGGTTGGGCTGCTTAAATTGATTATTACCTCATTTCCTTTTTTGTTAAACAAAGGGTCACTTTCATACAATCATTCCGCGCTTATTTGAAGCCAATATGGAGGAAGGCTGATATAATAAGGTCAGTTTTATTCAATCAAGTGGTGTAATCCCATCATAAGGCAAGTTTGATTAAGAAACAAATGTAAACATGATTCACCAAGTATGATCCCACCCTTTATCCTCTGTGAGAGAGAGAGAGAGAGAGAGAGAGAGAGTTAGCATAAGGGTAGCTTGAGGTCACAAGAGACACTTTGTTTGATGTGATAAACACGATTTTCAAGTGATTACATGCATTCCGAATTTATGTAGAATCTACGAGTCCGAAGGACACAAAGTTAGTACAGTTCTCAGTCATGGAAAAATGAGGGAGATAGAAAAAGAGACCATTCAATAAAATTTAGCGGTAGGGAAACCATTCGATCATGGTAGCTGGCTCATAATGAAAAAATTGTACTGAACTTACCCAAGATGCACAAGTTTAGGCCAATCAAGGTACTGGTTTTCCTAGGTAATGGGCTCTTTGCGGCTGCTTCATACATTTCATTTCATGATGCAAATATGTAACATGAACCCATGATTCTGAAGTGCAAATAAGTAGTCATCAAAGCTAATGGCAATAAATGTCTAAATCATGGTTCACTAGAGCTAGTATAGTCCTGCAGTTGGTTGCATTTTCACAAAAAGAGCATATTAGGGTTACGAAAGACTCTCAAAAAGTGGTGAGAGGTGAAACAAGAGATGCATTTTGAGTTTATACTTTATAGCAACCACAATTACATGGTTACCAAATCCCAAAAGGATAAAACAACAAACAGCTCTTCATAGATCTGTAGCAGTCTTCATGAGCCCCTTAATGGGAAGAATGCATGAAAGTAGAGAAGTTCAATAATCCGTTTTTACCAAACTTCAGGGAGCCTCAAAATTTTAGAAAGCAGAAAGGGTGGAAGCCAGTGGAAAGTAAGCGCTTATGTATATCAAGCATTGTAAAGATCAAACGTACAAAAACTTCAAATACACGTAATGTAAAGGAGGAAATTGGAACAACGGAGAGCTTTCATCCTTTACATACAAGTAAGAATCACCCTTTTGACAAAATAATGGGGTCTTCAGCGCATGACGAAAACATCACCTCTAGTTGGCTCGATTTACCTTCAAATAAGGCAAGGCACCAATCACGTTGTTGTAGTCACTGCGGTCAACTTGTTGCTGTGCATGACAAACCAATGTGACATAAGAAAGAAAATCTTAAACTGAAACCAATATATCAATATAAATCAGTAGCAATCTATTAACTTCTATGCCTCTTTTCTTTAAAAATAAACAGGCAATTTTTTCCAACAAGAATGTTGGGCAATCATTACAGGAGGTAGTAGCCCCCTACCCAACCCCAAAACCACAACTAATAATACCCCAGGCCTTTGTATTCAAATACCACAAGGCTTTACCAACTAGGTTTGCTAGCTAATTTGAAACTGGTCTTAAGTTTTTTCTTTTTGATAAGTACAAACAATCTTAAGTTGCTCAGATGCTATTGTTGTTTCTTCAGTCAGACAACTGCAGATCCATTCTTGGGGCGGCGAAGGGCCAGGGGACTACCTTTGAGAGATAAGTTGAAGATCTCTGTCTAATAAAGATGTCCAAATACTGCCCTCTATCAAAGTTTGTCAGTATTCTAGCTACAGAACCTGAGGCTCTTGGAACTCATAATGTATTCTAGTAAACTAGAAGATAAAATTTAACAGATTGTTGATGCTTAAAACCTTATACACAAAAAGTGACGAGAATATATTAAAAATTTGTATTCAGCCTCAGAGTGTAACTTAATTAATTACAGAAAAATTAATCGTACATTACTCTACACTTATCCCACACCTCTTTATCAACTTAACTTTTAAAATAGTTGATAATTTATATAGTATCAAAACCTAAAAGTCCTGATTTCAAACTACACTAGCAACATGTCCCTTATCACACAATATAATCGGATGGATGGACTACCCAAGAGGGAACACATGGGAGAGGCAGTATTAGATAAATACCTATACTACAACCCCTTACCCCACCTCACCCCCTCAAACACAAACAAAAAAAAATCTTACGCTATGATGGCATATTGTACATTCCTTGATATCCCTTTTATTTAGGTGATATCCCTATTACTATATGTGATATTTTTAAAGTTTTCATACATGATTGACTTGTGCCATTAATTTTCTTTCCACGTGATCTAATGCACAAACAAATGCAAAATACAAAATTTTCATCACCAGGCATTGTTATCTATTGAGCTAAATAACTTAAAAAAACAAAGGGACTTGGGTTGATGGGTCAGCATCCACCTTGACAAAGTGAAGCATGAAGAAAGAAAAAGGAAAAGAAGGATTACCAAACAAACAGAATACCAATGCTGAAACAAGTCATAAGCTACAGAGAGAAAAGGAAAGATCATTTCCTTCACCATGCGTACTTACAAAGAAAGAATTATCTGCCCACCTCCAAGTCCCCAAAAAAAGAGAAAAAAAAAAAAGAACAACAAGAACAGCATATGTAATTAAGAGAATTAACAGAAGTCCACTAAAATTATTGGTTTTCCCTTTGACAGGCCAAAACTATTTAAAGACCAAATAACCTTCTTTTCAAGATCCAAAATTGTCATATATCTTTGGTTAATAAGAATATAAGATCCAAAAGTAACTTATTGACAAGACAAGCAATTAAAACATTTTGTATTTATATACGTTTGGTATTTCAAAAATATAAATTCAGACAATCAAATCAGTACACTCCCTTAAAAATTTAATTTCCTACAACAATAGCAGAAGAAAATGAAGCACCCCAAACCCACTTAAAAAAAATGATAATAAAACAACCACATTAGGCAGGGTTAACAACAACAAACTATCAAGAATTCCTCAAATTTCAAAATATCACAAGCAATTTATTTTCAGAGGAAAATTTTCGAAAAGAAACCTACATAGTAACACCGAACTTTGCCCTTTTATACAAATAAAAAATCTATATTACCTCACACATCAACTTGAGTAGTGTTCTCATTACAAATTCTTCAACCAATGGAAAATGCAGTAAGATTCCAGAACTCTTTATAGGACCAAATGCATAAATTGATCAACTCGTGAGGATGTCAATATATGAAAAATAGGAGAACAATTGCAAAGCAGAGACAAGAAAGAGCTCTGATAGTAGATACAACAGGTAATAAATAAGGTTATTATTCTATCCTTAAACAAAAATGTAGAGCCAATTGCTGAATGACGAAAAAGATTAGCAAAGTCTAGGTGGTGCGTAAAGAATAAGTACAAATATGACAACATTGGACTGGCATTGGGGACACCAAATCCTCATGACCTAAGCTACCAAAGCAGGAAGTGAGAGTGACAGTGGCCAATTTTATAAGCATAAAAACGTCAAGAATCTTTCGACTTTGCATGGGTCTAACCATTAGAGGTATATTGACGGTGGCCATTTTTCTAAACACAAACAAGTCAAGAGTGCTTTGACTTTCCACAGGTCTAACCATTTGAAGTATATCTTATACACTTTACAAAACAATGCTTGTGGTTGCCCTGTGGTTATGAGTTGTGTACTTTCCCTTAGGATCACGGGCTCAAAATGTTAACACATTAAATTTGAAATTTTCTTCATTGCAGAGAATAGGAGACCCAGTCCTTCAGATTGACATGAACTAAGACAATCAAACACTGTCCACGAGGCATTTTACTGAAGTGTCACTTAGGTATTGAAAAACTGGATCATGACAATGATTTTTTATACAAGGTCAGTTAAAACTTGAAAAACTGGACCATGGCAATGTGAAACATAACTTTGAATTGGATTGATTGGAAGGGAAATTTACCAACACACCTCAAAAGAGGCAATAGATTCACAATAATTTTCAGGAAGTTACAAACCAAGAAACACCCCCTTAGGCTATTGCTATCCACATGCTTCCCCCACAGAACACGATTTCAGCAATGCAATTAAGTCCACTAGAGGTCAAACTAACAAATGGAAAGGTCAATCCTGCACCATCCCACCCATTTTTGAAAACCAAAGATACATCCCCTTAGTGTTACAAGTTCTTAATTTTAACTCCCAACTTACACAAGCAAATAAGCCAAAGAATTCCACCATAAAGAAAAACAAACAAAAACCACACACAAAGATAATGAATTCAAGAGAGTCAATACCATTTTTGAAAGTCTTAATTTCCTCTTAGTACTCTTTTTCGCATTCAGATGTTGCTTCCCAGCTCTCCTCCTCATTATCTTCCCAGTTCCAGTAACCCGAAACCGCTTTGCCGAAGCCTAAAACAAGAATAAAAAACAAGATAATCAAATACCCAGATAACAATTACACAGAAATACAAACAAATTTGGGCAAATTATACATATAGAGACAGAAAGAAAGAGTTTACCTTGTGGGTTTTCATTTTGTAGCCTTTAGAAGAGACCACAGTGAGATGCTGAGCGTTTCGAGGGGGAGAGGCGACTGTAAAGTCTCTGCTGGGAAGGATTGGGCTGAAGCCAGAGATGGTCTGTGATGAACTGAGGTTCAGTGAGGTTTTCTTGGCGAATGGTGCGAGATGAACAGTGCTATGATAGCTTTGAATTGGGTGGTTTGAAGGGGAAAATTTGAAACCCAAAGAGAACATCACTGTTGAGGAAGCCATTGTTGTCATTTCTCCGAGTACTGTTCAAAAGAACAGCTTCGGCTCGGAGGAGTTGTGGTTGTGGTGGTGGTTTTTTGGGAGTGATGATGAGGATATAGAAAAGACCAGCTGGGTCTGGTGTGGGACCTTAATTTTTTATTTATTATGCAATTACTAGCCACAACTTTCTATCTGAAAATATTTTTATAATAATAAAAAATATAAATATTATAATAATTTAAAATTAAATTGAAAAAAATAAAAGAGATATGAGGAGAAAAAAGAAAGATATAGGTGTGAATTAATAGAATTATTTGACATTGAAAAATGTATAAGATGATGAATTGTTTGATATTGAAGGCTCTGAAGAAAAAAAATGATATTTTTAAGTAAAAAAAGTTTGAAATATATTTTATATAATTGGATTAAAGTAGATAAAAAATTGAATAATTTATTATTATTATTATTATATTTTTATAAGTTAAAAATTAAACTTATTAACTGTAATATTAGATAATTTACTTTTAATGTATATTTGAAAACTAGGATTACCGTGGAATGCATAGACGTCGTTGTGGTTTATGTTTTAAAAAGTTTCTGTTCTATGATATAGATAATAATTACATAAAAGGACAGTTAGAAATAACTTGTCTCGATTACAATATATAGTGCTAAAACTCCTTAATGTATAAGAATAAAATTTGTTGCTAATTTGATTCCGTTTACCAAAACATAAATGTCACATCTATAAACTTTTCATCAGCGTCAAGAAAAAATTCCATCACTTTTCTGTAAAAGTTTTTTTTCAACGACATGATTTACAAGGGAGAGATCACATGGGAATTCACTGAGAGACATTTCTGGTTTACATTTGTTGCTTGTTTGTATAGATTATGGGTAGTGTTTGTGTTTGCATTGCTTACTTCAAGACTAAAGTATTTATGAAAAATAATTTTTTCATGATCTAACTTTAACACGTCTGAGTTTACGGCTTTTGAACTCTTCATTAACACCAATCTGTCAACCAGGCAACCTCCTGCTGCTGCTGCTTGCATTTCTATAGCAGCGAAAGAAAATGCCTACAAATAAGTGTATAAACGACTCCCTCCCATGGCCCTATACAGTATTATTTGGGTAAGACTTATGAAGGTAACTACTACATTCTACAGTCCATAGGCCATAGCAAACACATACTTTACATCAGACTAACTTCATTCAACCGTCTTCACGGAGAATGATCTACTACTTCAGCATGGAATAACTCAGAGAAGCTTCCGGGGTGCCGTCACAAAAAATGGTGTAGGGAGTGCTCGGATTAAGAAATAATTTTCCTCATGTCCATGTTCCATAATTCATGGCCTTGTCAAGATGGCTACAGACTCCCACTCCAAACTGCATATCACATCCTGTATAAAATGGCATATAGCACTCATGACAATCGTAGAATGGAAACTTAGTTTTACCGGAAAAGAAAAGAAAGCCAATGTAAGATTAGAAGTTTATAGACATATTTAATAGTACAGCTCCTACTTACGGAGGGACTTTGTCTGTCAATATCAAAGCTGTTGATGGCACAGGGTTCAGCCAAGATCTCCATGGGTGGTCCACCTGTGCACGCATGATGCAAACTAAATCAGTTCCAAAAAACAGCGCAATTTTGTTCCTCAGACAGGATGGGGAACCTCTTAGTTAATTAGCAAGTCAAAGGCATTTTTCTTTTATACTACAATGTTTAACAAACGAAGGCAAAAGAAGTCCATACCTTGCTCAATGACGGCAAGGATGCCATCTTCTGAGCAAATCATTACAGGTAAGACTCGTGAAGATGAGATGCCACCAATGTTGGAGGAATGCGTATAGCTGTCATACTGGACCTCCCATACCTCACTTTCAGATGGTGCTGGAGCATCATCAATCCCAAGACCAGAAAGAATTATAGGCTGCTGTTGCCACCGAAGATCCCATGCAAATACAGTACCAGAAGAGCCTCCTGCCTGCAATTAACACTAGTGTTAGAGAGACCATCATATAGTTTTTCAGGTCAGTTTACAAACTAGGGAGCCCAATCATGCAAAATTTCTATGGGTTTCAAAAAAATCATGCAAAATTTCTACACGATAAAGAAACAACTCTGAATAGTCAGCCAAGGAACAAAATGTAAATCCAGATTATCTAAAATGGTATTTTTTGAGCAACTTACAACCAACAGTTGACCGAAGACCTGAAGAAGCATGAAGTGATATCTACCAATGTTAATGCGAGCAGAGGTAGAACGAATTTAAATTTGAATGAGAAAAGAAAAAAGAACTGATAGCTTATGTTTAAACAGAAAAATGGATTTTAATGTAGCACAATAGGGTAATATGATTCATATAGCTGACCCCAAATAGTTGGGAGAAGGAGGTGCTCTCACCATTAAACAATCTAGTCCAAAAAATGACGCCAAACTGACAGATAGAACAGTCTCTCGAAGGATCACATTGCATACACTGTATTTTTCAACTTCACATAATAGCAGAAAACTTTTCAAAGGAAAATAACTAGATGTTCAACATCTTCATCACTTAAAAGTTAAAAGGCTTTCAGCTCTTATTTATGTGATATCTCACATCCATGAGACACAGGGTGAAGTACATCACCCATCCTTATTCACAGGAACTGTTGTTTGGTGTAGTATTTGTAGGGGCTCCATCTTACCACACAAGTGTGCTTCCGTGATGGATGGATATCAATTGAGTGGACAAGTCCTGGAGCAGTTCTTTGGGCCCTGCAACAGGATGAAGCAACAAATTGTCAACACGTCATAAAACTGAAAGGAACGGTGAGAGTGAGTGTGTTTGTCCTAGTTTATACAAGTCTATTGATCTAACTGTAAAAAAGTACTTACAGCTAGGCAAATGGTTAAAGATCCAATCAATCATCTTCCTCTCCACAGCTTACAGAAGTATATGAGTTAGATGAACTTTACATAAGTTATTGTAGTACAAGTGAGTCAAGTGACCAATCACCAAAACATGTATTCAAATTGTAAACTGATTCCACCAGCACATGTATTTGTCAATTTTCAGCAGCCATACAATTAGCTATATAATAGTTTATTTATCTTATAAGAATAAAATTGAAAATATCCATTTTGTCTTTCACTTCCAAATGGCCTGGGAAGTGTTGCTGGTATGAAGTAGGCTGAATATAAGTCTATTCACAAATGCTAATATTATTCCCTTTCGCTCATACATGCACTTTCAACTCTGTTAGTCTCAATTCTCTTCTTCCAAGCATTCATAAATTTGTGATATATGATCAACTTAGCCAAGGTAACCCTACCTTTGTAAACTAAATATAGCTTATAACTACAACCAAATTCCAAACCAGACATGGAAACCTTGTGCACAGCTTAAACGTTCTAATACTATCTGATTCTCCTCCCCCTCAAACGATCTTGCTGCTGAAAATGAAAGAAAAGAAAAAGTGGATACCCACAAGTTAAGGAGTTCAACCACTACCTGGAATGTCACATACTACACTTGTTCCCTTATTAATGAAAGTTAAGCTGATCAATATTGTATTGGTGCATCAATCAACCAACCCATATCAAAGGTAAACAATGGTGAAATGAGAATTATATATGCAATAATGTCTATCCTTTTGAAAGGGATGGAGGGACTCAATTGAAAATGTAGCTTCACTCAATTTCCAAGTGCATACACGTTCCTTCATATCTAAAAGTGGCTTGCAAAAGTTATATTCAAGCTACTTATTTTGTATTAAATCAGATCTTTCATATCTAATCAACTAATCGAAATTTATTTTGTTTCTGCAATTTATTTCAGTGGCATCCCTATTCTAACATTGCTTTCATTGTCCTCTGCATAAGATTTAAACGTACACGTGAAAGGATTTAGCTCCTCTTCATTGGTAGACATGATCAAGTTACCACTAAATTAAGCATTAGGATGATCTGAATCATTGAGTCAGTGGGTAGCCAGACATTACGTTGTTTCTAGCCTCTCAAGGTTCCAGAAGGATTACAGATAAGGAGAACTACAATTACAAAATTTGGCAGAGTTGAAGTTCTAATTTACTTGATCTGATTCTGACAAAAGGTGATATTTCCCAATGTATTCCCAAATATTTTGTGATGCTAAAACACTGAAACAAGCATCATTCTCCAACTTCTTATACCAAATATGCAAACTAATGGCTAACCATTTTCTCAAGAATATACCAACCATTGGTTCATTCATCTCCCCCTTGCCGAATTTCCAACTCATGGCAAGACAGACCAACATTATGAAGATCAGAAATAAGAATATTACACAACGATGACAGATTAAAAACACCATGAAGATTAATCATTATATTCTAGCACAAAACATCAAAAAATAGTATCAATTTAAAAAAGACAAGATAATATAGTATTATTACCAATTGCCCTTGAACTGAGACACTGGTCCACCAGGCCTCCTCTGATCCCACCACAGAAGACTAAAACCCAAACCACCCGTGGCAAACTCTGTCGGCGAAGCCCATTTAGCTGCGGTATATGAGACCAATCCGTTACTGTCAAAAACCCTCGAATAATCAACCCCAGAATCACCAATCTTCACCAAATTCACCCTCCCATCCTCCCCAACACTCACACACTGAGACCCATTTTCACTCACATCAACACACGAAATGGGTCCCACATGAAACCCCTTATCATGCACCAAGGCCTCATTTTTCAGATACCCATCAAGGGGATTTGAAGAGAGAATGTGTAAAGAACCTGAAAAAGTTGAGGCGGCAATGAGGGGTTTCTGGGGGGTTTGAGATACTTTGAGGGAGTTGATTCTTGAGGGTAAGGTAAGAGAGGATTGGGGGTTTAAGTTTGGGGTTTTTGAAGGGGTTAGGTTAAGGGTTTCGAGAGAAAAGTTGTTGGAATCGGAGTCGAAAAGGGCGAGGATGACAAAGCGATTGAATGGAGAAATTGAAGGGAGAAAACGGAGAGCGTCTGTGTATTTGGATTGCGGGATTCTTTGGACCTGGAGGATGTTTGAAGTGCCATTCACCGCCATTGTTAGGGCTCTGGGAAGTAAAGAGTGATAGAGCTCTCTGTCACTGTGTGTGTGTGTGTGTGTTTTGCAAAGGGTTTTAGGATGGTGGGAAATCAGCAGAAAGAAATCGTTGTCTATCGTACTTAAATACCCTTGGCATTTTCTTAGATTTACACCTGTGTACTGGACATGAAATGACCAAATTGCCATCAATCTTTTAAAAATTCAACTAAAATTCACAAAAAATTATATTTTGATCCCCGAAACTATATATTGTTGAGACCACTTTGTCTTTTCAAATTTTTTGTTAAATTTGTAATGAAAGTATATTATTAAGGGGACTATGAAACAAATAACGATATTAATAAAAAAAATATTTGTTTTTTAAAAAAATAAAAAACATATTATTGATTGGACAAACAACAATGAGAAATGAACCACAACTGAGGGGTTAAAGTATAATTTGTGGAAATATTTTCCACCCATAATGTGACTATATGTTATTAACTTGAGAAGAGTTGAACTTTAAATTCACACGTTTAAAATTTAATATTTGATAATTTTTTAAGATTAGGACACAAGATTTATTTATCATGAATTTTATAGTCTTGGCATAAATGATTGTTTTTGATTAAATCAGAGAGAAGATTAATCGACATGCGCGTAAACTGGTCCGAACAACCTAACCGCATTACCAAAAAGAAAAAAAGACAAACTGAAATGACTATATTGTTCTCCATACAAAGATAATGCAATGCTACTTATGAATTTATAAGAGCCACCCATAAATGTCATACATAGGAACATTCTATGTAAGACTTCTGGTAATGGGAAAATGTTGATCACAGGAAACAGAGTCATCTCCAACAACATTTTTTCTTCTCTGGTTGTGAACAAAAATGGCAGAAAATTTGGAACCACGACACTGGCTCAAAAGAGAGACTTTTCTGAAAGCCAACAACAACCACCCATTTTCCCACTGAGAGTTTCAAACACAATCCTTGCAAGGTCTGCTGTTGCTGTGTTTGCCTTGGGGTTCATCGATGCCGGGTAACCTTTTCCTCAACTTAATCTCGATAAAATGTTGTCCCAACTAGTTAACTTCGGTTACACAAACTTAATTCCGTCATTGTGCTCTGTCAATGATCAGATTTTTCATTAAATAGTCAGTTATCTTTTTTATTTTATTATCTCATTCAAAATTAATTTCTCGTATTACCAAGCCAGGCAACGTTTGCATAGCACAAAAAAAAAAAAAAAAAATACTTAGATAGGGTTGTTCTGATTTTGAGGATTAAATTATTTGTTGAGCCTGAGACATTGAATTTTCAGTTACAGTGGAGATTGGACAAGGATAGGAGTCATCTCAAAAGAGAGTGAGGATTTGCTAAAAGTTGCAGCTTTTGTAGTAGTTCCTTTGTGCGTCTTCCTCATATTTTCTTTCTCCAGAAAAGCTGAGGATGAAAGTCTGAATTAGATTTTTATTTTTCATACCCTTTTGGGAGTTAATATTTGTGCTCTATTTTATTAGAGTTCTTTCAACTTTATCTCCACCCAGCATCGTTCTTACAGTTCACAAAAATGCCTTGTGCTTGTGCTTCACATAATTTTAGTCTGTGTTTGTGTGTGTAAGAGAGAGAGAGAGGGTGTCGGGCTAACTTATGTACACCTCAATTAATCTTTTTTCCGGTTCGATCAACGATAAATTATCCACTCTAAGACTAGAGAATTTATAAAAGATAAATCCTCATTGCTTGACCCCAAATGATTATCAAGATTCGAACTCAAGATGTCTAGATTTATACTCGTACAAACAGAACATTGCACTTTTATATACAAATCCAAAAATCATCAATAATATTCCTCTGAAAATCAAATGTAATAGTTCTAGTTCTTCAGGTTGTCTAATGGGCAATCAAGTATAATGCAGTCCTATATCTTACTGTTTAATAATACATTCCCCATCTTCACACAATTTTTTTTAACTATAATGAATGACTTTATGTTCTTGATCTATAACCAATACAACAAACGAATTGTTGTTTTCAACTAAAATCCCAGGAAAATAAGCTTTCAGATACCATATTAGAAGCCAAACAAGGATAGAAGCAGGAGATTCTGGACCTGAGAAATGCTCTCACCATTTATCATCTCCAGCTGAGCAAACCATGGCCTCCATCACAGGTTGGTGAACCCCTACGCCAGTCCATAACAACTAGGGTGGCAGCACTGTGGGCAAGCGCCCCAGCAACAACAAAGACATGGAAAATCTGATGGCTGTGGCCTGCGATATCAAATGCACCAGGCTTCCATCTCTCTGGTATCCTACTGACATAGAACCCCGCTCCAACAGCATAAAACATGCCCATCACAATCTCATATCCGAGGGAAACAAGTATCTGTGGATCGCCCCAATTGATGGCAACAGCATGTGCAGCCGGAATCACCCCTGAGAAGCCCATGGCTAGGAATAGAGATGCCCTGACAGACCGGAAACGAGCAGTGGAGAATGCAGGAGCAAGGAGAGTGATAATGACTATAATACCGAGTAATGAAATAGATGTAAGATAGAAGAGCCGTGAATATGGGTGGCAGGAGAAAGCATAGTAGATGGGAGCAAAGAATGAGCAGACTATCATGAGGGAGATTCCAGCGTAATCAAGGCGCCAGAAGAATAAGTTAAAGCTTCGGGAATGGCAAGCAAATAGGTGGGAAATGGAGCTACAGACCAAACAGCCCATAGCCCCTCCCAAGAATACAAACCAAGGCCATCTAGGAATTGCATCCGAATCATCATCTTGGTTTACATGTTGGATTGATGGCTTAGGAATGTGTCTAAGACAAGAATCCTGCAAACCAAACAACAGAATGAGTTATACACGCTTCTAATAACTTACTCAAAACTTGGATAATACTAAGTCTCTTAAAGTTTTTTTGGTAAAACATAATACTAACTCTAATCACACTTCTCATAATCATCATAGAGACATTACAGTGTTTTATTTCAAAGGAAGCACAAGAACTCTTGACATATTTTGGAAGCATAGGCATCTACAATCGAAATACAAAATGAAGAGAAGAGAAGAGAAGTAACTTTTTTGTTTGGCCTAAGCTCTAGATTATCCTCCAACAACTCCCTTCTGATTAGTGAAAAATGTCCATGTTTATTTTTCCATTGAATATAATCATGAATGCTAGGATAGTAGCCTTGACTCCCTGGCAGCTGATAATGGGATTCCATGTTTGAAAACTTTTGGTCACTGTGGCAGAACATGTGACATCTTCAATTGTATAGCAATACCATCCTTGTGGCTTTTCTACTTTATAGTTCTAAAAAAGATGAACCATGAGGTTAAGCAATTCTCTTTAGGATTCATGAACCAGTGGGGGAAATTGTGGCCAAGACAGATCATGAAAGACCTCCTACTAGAGGAAAAAGATCCTGCTCAAGTGAAGTATAGGGTAAAGGGTTAACAATGGATCCAGATTTTACAGACCATGTGGTATTGTGGTGGATTTTTTATAAATGAATTCCATTTTCTATCATCAGAGTTTGGATGCCAAATATTGTTTGCTAACCAAACTTACATACTATTTCCATCTGTTTTCAACATGTCAAAAACTTCAAGGTAGGTAATCAACCTTTGCACATATGCAATGGTTGCATCTGTTTCTTTTCTTTAAAGACATGTAGGATAACTAAGAGCAAATAAACTTTCAAATAAGAAAAATGAAGCACCCCTTTTAATCTGATATTGGCAGCAAAACAAATCATAACCAGCAATTTGATAAATGTTTAACTAGAAGAGGTATTTTCTGCTAAACGAAAATTGCTAAATGGTGCCATATTTTAACTTGTACACACATGTCCCTTTCAACTTTAATGACATTACCAACCAGACTTCTGGATAATTGTGACTAATAAAGAGTGCACAAACCTAACCACATACATGTAAAACTTCATAACATTAGTGCTGAATTATACACTCTCCAGAGCATTTAGCTTCTTTAGTTTTTCTTGATAGGCTTTTAGCTTCCTTAATAATTATATCACAATGATTTAACTCAAATCGAACTCAACCCCATTCAAGTGAGAGATATGCAGTACATAATGCTCTGCCTATTGGACAGAGAAGGTAATGATATATACATTTACAGCCAGATAAACCAATAATCGAAACACACCAATCATATAAATGAACTACTTCAAGTGCTTCACTTCTGCTTCATTCTTGAGGGAAGTAAACTTTGGCCAACTTGTTTACTCACCTAGGGCCGCAGAGTAAACAAAATCACAGTTAGAGCTTATGGCTTATGCAAAATGAATCTAGGGGGACGAATGACAACAAGAACTTCCCCAAACATTTGAATAAGCCACAAGCTCGAGTGTAAATTCCAAGTATATATACATTCATTCCCTCGTGTGTAAATTCCAAATGTTTTACTGTTACAGAGGCGGTGACAGAGCATAGGAGTATTGTGAGGGCCATTGATCCCCAAAGTTCAGATAATAACATAGCCAAATTGTAATTATTTAGTTAAAATTACAAAACAACTGATTATAACTTACTAATTGCACCAAAGTTATGTAAACTGTCTTTTGAATCTTTACATGAAAATCTAACATCTACTTTGGCGCTCTCTTTCCGAAAATTTCTATCTTAGTCCCAGTATGTTCATTGAGGGGAGGACCTCAATGGCTCAATCAAATTTCTTCAAGTTAATGAAACACAAGGAGAATCGAAGTTATGACATTAGACAAGGTCAATTGAAGATAAAGCTTTCGCAATATTCAAAGTAACACGTAGCTTAGATATTTTTCAGACTTGTTAAGCTGGATAATTCATTGTATGAGTACTTGTGTGTACGCAAGTCATAAATTGAAATGAATACTTAAATTTTAGATAAAGTTTTAAATCCCTCGTCCTCGCCGCCAAGTAATCACAACACATGGTATGGACCCTAAAAAATTCTGATGAGAAATGTGGAACCCACACTTTTACAGTGGTGTTCCATCACGTCTAACAATACCCAAAAAAAAAAAAAAAAGAAGGTGGAAGAAAACGCGTACCAGAAAGAAAGCATCTGAGCCGTTGGTTTTCATCATCATGGTCATCAACGGTCCTCGAACTGCCGGTCTGTTACAGAAGTGACCAAAAACTCATTTTCATGGACATAAAAGGATACGCAAGAGTTGCAGAATGACGAAGAGGTCCTCAAGAACGATCAACGAACCAAACCTGATGAAATTTCCGATGAGAGATTCCACCTTCGTCTTCTCCATTGAACTCATAACCGCCAACCCCACAAATATCAAGAACCCCACCAAATGCCTGCAAAATTATAAAAACAGCCTCTTAATATAGAACTCAAATTCAAAATCTAAATTCATTGATGTTTCAGAGACATACGTCCAAATGTTTAGGGTTTCATTGTGCCAAGAAAAGACGCTGAACAACACGTCCTTGCAAGGCCATTCACAACGATAATAGTCTCTGATGAACTCGTTGTCTTTCAAGTACTCAGGTAACGCCTCATACTTCACCAGCTTTCTCTCGAACCTCTCTTTCTTTTTATTCGTAACCGCTGTTTCCCTGCGATCCGAGTCGACTCGGCCGCCATTTCTGTGTTTCAAGTTTCTCGCACCTCCACCCCTCATTTTGCCGGAAAATCTCTGTCGCCCTTCCCGGCGAGAACTCCACCGGAAATCTCCCCCCTTCTCTCTCTCTCTCTCTCTCTCTATATATATATATATATATATATGTAGATATATATGTCTAACTCTTACCAAGATGGAGCTTCAATACAGGCGATGAGAATTTTTTGGCAACCAGGACGGTGTGACTAATTATTTATATAGAAAAATGACATGATAAAAAAAATATTTTTTATTGGGGCTAGGTGTGACTACGGAGGATAAGATAATTTCCTGAACTCCTTGTAAAGAGCCACGTGGCAAAATGGTTTGACTTGGAACGTGAAAATCAGAAAATGGAAGAAGGGGGGGAGGCGGTGGGGTCGTGGGTTTGGTGGGGGTTGGGGATAGACTAGTAAATAAATTGAGTTTTTATTGATCAAAATGCAAATTCTAAAAGATTTAATTATTTGACTTATTTTATTGCTATAGCTCATATCGAAATTCATTAAAAATTAGATACTCAATTCACATATCTGATCAAATTTGATTAACTAAATTAGAGTTGATTTTAATAAATTATATATATAATTTACACATATTTACAAATATTTCGAATCAAACTATAAGAATCTGATGTTCATAAACTCAAACTAAATTCATGAAATATTATATAAAAAATTTAAATTTGATTAATCAACCAAAAAAATTATTTATTTTAAATGAATCAAATTTAAATTCAAATCTAATTCATTAACAAGCGCAATAGAGAGATTTTGACCTTAATTAGTTTTAACAAGGTAGATTTAAGCACGTATAGGTGATATTAGTCATATGTGATTTGGAAGAAATATTAAATGTAACGATGTTACCTTGTCAACATTAATAACATGATATCACCAACTAATAATAAATTCTTAAATGGGTAAAATGAACATCACTTAGATAGTTATTGACTTATATGAAAGAGTAATGTTATATAGACTTAAAAAAAAGAGTTAGATAGTTATTTGACTTACATAAAAAATTAGTTATTGGTTTGTGCGATGTCTGTTTTTTAATTTATTTGCGTATTATTAGTTATTGATATATTTATTATCATTGTAATAAATATTTTTTCTTGATTTGGGTCCTACCTCAATTTTTTTTTTTTTAATTTTTTTTTTGCTTTTTTAAAAGTTTGGGACTTTTTTGGATCAAGGAGGTTCATAAAATTCAAATTTGATGGAAGGTGGAAAACGAGTTTTGAGTGAAGTAATTATTGAAGACATCATCTAGAAAAGTGAAGTTTGGTGGGACTATAAAGCAAAGTCTTTTGAAAAGAATTTAGATTGAATTGGATTTTGATGCATTCAAATTTAATTTTGATTTTAAAAGGTCAATTCGAATCCAACTTGAGAATTCAATAAATTTTCTTTTTTGATTTATATCCAAATTCATTAACAATTTAGAATCTGATCCAATTCGATCCGAACAATTAACAAATTATACCTAAATTTTAACTATTTTTTTTATAAATAATTTAGATTAAATCATTATTTTAACTCTTGCACTCAACCTATTCCAGCTCTAGCTCCTTGCCTAAAGATGCTCATCAAGGCATCTGGTACATCATCTATCCCCTCATAGTGGGGACTTCCCCTTCCGGCATGGGCTAAGGTATGTGTAGCTTTGTTATGATTTCTCCATTCAATGGAAGGAAAAAGTAAAGCATAATTTCAGAAATCCTGCTGGATGGATGCAATCTCCCTTAGAGTATCCCCACTACCTCTCTGTAGGGAGTCCATGAGTTGCTTCGAATCAGATTCAATGATCACTTTTATCAAACCTTTGGTCCACTGCTATTTTGCATGCCATCCTAACAGCATGAGCCTATGTTACTAAAACAGATGATGCCACCATTCTTTGAGCATCCCCTAAAATCAAGCATACTTCATGGTCTCAATCTAGGACACCATATGCGGCTTTCTTTGTCTGTTTCAGCAGAGCTCCATCACAATTAATCTTTTATGAATTCAACAGGTGGTGGTTGCCCACCAGTCCCACCAAAAGTTGAAAGATTCTTGGTCTCTGACCTTGTTTCCCAGCTATCTTCAGCTCTTCCACTACCTGTATAGCTCTGTTGATGACATTTTCTACTGCAAAAGTTGTTGATGAGTGTACACAGTACACCCACTCATTCCTTGCCTTCCATATGAACCAGCACATGTATACAAGAATAGCTTGGCCCCCATTTTCTCCTTCATCTCTACTCCTCATCATATGTAGTTGATTTGTTAACCAATTTTCTATTATGTTCACCTCAAACCTATCTATTCTGATATTTACATGACACATCTTTTACATATTTTGAACCTAGGGGCGTATTAACAGCAGATCTTCGATAGTCTTATCCTCCTCCCCACAAATTGGGCATATGGGAATATTGGAGACTTTTCTCCTCCATACGTCCCACTTAGTTGTTAAAGTCCCATTTGTAATGTATTTGTCTTTTGGTATTTGATAGTGATGGGTGCGAGATTTTGGGCTTGGGCCACCGACAAACTGGGGACTAAAAGCCCCCCCTAACCCGGGGGTATCTTATAGGTTGGCCCAGTTGAAGGAAGGAAAGCACGTTACAAGAGGTCGTCTAACCTAGGCCCAATTGAACATCGGCCCAGCTAGGACCCGGGAAGGAGACAGACTGCTTTCCCTTTAACAACCCTGTCGTTCCACGTGTGCAAGGGACAAGGGACCATCTCTGAAATTAGCTACTGCAGCATCCTCCCAGACAAAGAGGATGGTGGAACTTAGGGCCCAGAGATCGTGGGCACAGTGACGACAGCGGATGGAAGGCTTTTGCAGGGTAGGAACAGGAAGTCCCCACAGGGTCGACGGGAAGGCGGGAAAAGTCATAAGGAATCTCCGGAGGAACAACCACTATATAAGGAACAGTGTCTTACCAGAGAAAAGAGGCTAGAGAGAGAGAGAGAGAGATCCCCAAAGAGGAAAAAGGAACCCTCGCCTGGAACAGCTCGATACTTGTAATTTCATTGTATCGCATAGAACTTCAATACACTGCATTCAGGAGCAAGAGCCTCCATTACAGTGGATGTAGCTTTAGTCCTTCGGCTAAGGTGAACTACTTATTTTCTGTGTTCTTTTTCGTTTAATTTTCCAGATCCATCGCAACGCAAGAACCAAACAACCATAATCCATAGGTTAGGCTTGGGTCGAGAAATTTCGAGCACCATCAGTTGACGTCGTCTGTGGGAACGATTTTCATCGTTTCTTTTCTAATCTATTGATTACTTGATGGTTTCTACTCGGAACATGAGTAAAGCTCCAACCAATCCCCAAGTTCGTCAGAACCCACTAGAAAACTTTTCGGTTCCAGAAGGAGACGTCGAGAACCGACCTCCAGAGACAAACCGACCTCCTCCCAACGAACTGGAAGTTTATCGTCGAACTACAGTTCAGTTAATATGACAGAACCAGGAGCTGATGGAGTGGATACAAACTCATCAGCTCCCTCAGTTCCCAGCAGCACGTCAGGAACCTCCCCCACCCCGGGCCGAGCAGGACGCTCCTCCTTAGGAGCGCCAAGCCCCGCCTAATGGAGTCACCGAGCTCCATGAGTGGAGCCACTCCGGGGAAAATCATCAGAGGAGGTACCCAGAAGAACGCAGCGAAGACGAAGCCCACAATAGGGCCAGACCTACCTTCCAAGAAGGCAGATCTTTCCATTCGCCAGATATCGCGGACCATCACTTAGAACAAAAGCTCCGCGAACTTCAGCGAGAGCTGGGAAACATGAAAGAAGTGGTCAAAGGAAGGACCCCTAATACCATGGATGCCCTGGTCCAGCAAACAGAGTCACCATTCACTCCAGAGGTCCTTTACTTCCCCCTTCCCCAGAAATTTTGAACGCCGTTGATAGAAGCGTTCAACGAAACCAGAGACCTAGTCGACCATCTGAACTCTTAAAAAAACCAGATGGAGCTTCAAGGGTACCCGAACCCAATACGCTGTCGGGCTTTTGCCATCACCCTCAAATGGTCTACAATAGCCTAGTTTAACCGTCTGCAACCAGCATCAATCTCCTATTTCAGGGAATTATCCATTCAGTTCATTTCCTACTTCATTGGAGGAAGGACATACAGAAAACCACCCTACCATCTTTTGAGCGTCAAGCAGGGTCCAACGAGTCCCTAAGAAGCTATGTTCAACGCTTTAACTAGGAATGCTTGAAGGTAGAAAGCGTGGACGATAAGTTATCTGGACTCAGGCTTCAATCCAAGGATCTCCTATTTTCAATAGCAAAGAATTTTCAGGCTACTATGGCCGAGGTGCTAGTGAAAGCTGAGAAGTACATTAATGGAGAAGAAGCTCTCTGCTTGAAAAGAAGCTCAACACCAGTTGAGGAGAGCAAAAAGAAAAGGGACTGTAGTCCCAAGAAAGAGGGGAAACATGATCGATCTCCAAAGCAAGAGCGTTCACCTAGGAGAAGAAGAGAGCCTCTCCCAAAAGGAGAGGCAACGTCCGAGATCAATTAGGACCGCCCCCATAAGACTTGCAGCCGCGGTTCGCCCCAGTGCGACTTCCACCATTGGTAACTTCAATCGCTCAGGTCCTCCACGAAGTCTAGAATGAGAGGTTCATTTGGTGGCCACCACGAATAAAATCTGACCCTAGCAGGCGAGACCCCGCCAAGTACCACGAGTTCCACAAGGATACCAGCCATGAGACCGACAACTGCATCCAACTCAAGAAAGAGATAGAATACCTGATCTAGAGAGGCCACCTGCGCCAATACGTAGCAGGGGAAGGGAGAACACAGAACAATCAAGGGCGAGAAGCCTGAGTTGCTGCAGCGGCACCTTAGCAACACCAGCAAGCGTTGTGCGAAATCCAAGTCATTTCGGGAGGCTTCGTAGGAGGTAGAGAATCGAGTTCTGCACGAAAAGCGCACGCAGGAGAACCTGTTCGCCAGACTTCTTGGTAATCCAAGTCGTCGCTAAGGCACCCCGCCGAGACGTGGAGATCACTTTTTTTGACGCAGATCTCGAAGGATGCCAACACCTGCACAATGACCTCTGGTCATAAAGGCGATCGTTGCGAACAAAATCGTACATCGAGTGCTCGTCAACAATGGGAGCTTGGCGGATATCATTTTCCTAACAGCCTTTGACCAGCTCGGCAT